AGGACCTCGGCTAACGCTTTTTAATGGACTTAACGCGTACGGGCAGCGGAGCACGGAACCTGCGTAGGACAGGTGAACAAGCGCCGCGGGCCTTCTCGATTATGATTCCGTGTTTTATGGTAATTGAGATCTTTCGACGAGATCGAGGATCATGCAACAGGCCACGATCGTCAAGTGCAGCTCGCGCGAATCAAACATGTGACTGTCGCAAATCAGACGAGAGAACATATTCGAGGCTTCTGGACAAACGACGTGTGAGAAGGTTAATCGAATCTTAAGTGTTCGTTACGAAGGAGCCTCGTGTTTCCGAAGTTATTCGGAAAAACATCCGCCAAAGAGCGTCCACGAAATTAACGTTCGCCGATAGACGAGTGCCTCGATTAACCCTCGGGACAAGATCGGCGAACGTTTCGCGAGGTACGCGAGGTGAGGAGCCGCATACCGCGGAGCCTGGCGCGCGTGTAATGATATAATTGGTGAGAGACGATGCATCAAACATTCCGCGTCGTCGGGAGAAAACAAAAACTCCGTGGAAGCTAGACAGAAGCTAGACGGTCTGGTGTTGGCTGCGGGCGGCTCGAAACCGCAGGGATGCCGCGTCACAGACAAAGAAAGAAAGAGAGAGAGAGAGAGAGTTGATAGTGGTGGCGGCAGATGATCGAAATGGGGTGGCGGCGTTACAACTTCGCTGGCGTACTCGTCAGCCACTTTTTTTGTTGCTCTTGCTTCCAGAATCACTCTGCTCTCGCCCCCTCATTCTTTTTTTTTTTTCGGACAGCTCGCGCGAATAAAAGGCCCGTGCGAGCGAATAAAAAGAAGGGGTGGGACAGAGAGAGTCACGGGGAAAAAGGGGTTGCCATTGCGCGTAGCTTCGTCGCGACTGCCGCCACAGGATGCAATTATTTCGTAACGGTGATCTTGTTACGGGACGGATCTCCACGTGGACGAAACTCGTTGGCTCGACACTGTCGTACGCGGCTGGACCGGAAAACGGACGAAATTTTGTTTCCGATTGACTTAGCCACTGCACGAAGGGATGACGACTACGTACATGCGTAATCTATCGTGTACTTGTGTAACGAACTCACTACTTTGTGTTGTAAAATACTACGTACGTTTCTTGACTTTTCATTACGTCTGATCCACAGCCGAAAGATTACACGAGAAAGATATGAAACTAATGTTACTGATATCTTAAATGTTCAAGGTGACGCGCGTCGTATATATTTTTTTTATTCGCGATTTTCATTCGCGAAGATTGTAAATGAATTGTTCAATTTGGAACAGAATCGAGGGATTTGTTACCATCAGGAGGATGCAATTTGGAAAATGTTTCATCCTTTAAAACGAGTTTAACCCTCGGTCGGCGAGAGTGATCGAACGAAGACAGCAGCGGGAAGGAAATAAAATTGTAATCAGAATGTGGCGAATCACCCTTGGAGATTGCTTAAAATCAAAGGGTCGCCGATAGGGGACGGCTGAGTCCGCGATAGGGCTGGCGAACGATTAATTCGTCTCCTTTACGCAAGAAAATCGACCAGACGGACGATCAAATTTTCTGTTGCGTCTCGCAATCTTCAACAGTCGAGCTCGTCATTCGTAACACGTTTCTTCGCGATTAAATCTCATCGATAGTCCGTGTTTCGTTCTCGAAACAAAATTTTACACCTATTTCTCGAACGATGGAAACTCTCTCGAAGCAACCAATTCCAGAAATCCTTACGATTCCAATTGACGGCGATTGTACAGAAAGAATCAACAAGCCCCAGTTTAAAGTTAAAGTAAAATTATATAAATTCCAGAGAGCACTGAATGTTGTAAAATATGTCAAAGACAACCATTTGTCACACGCGCATGTACTGATGAATCGAAATGGACGTCGACGATATTTCTGTTGTGTGCTTTTCTTCGATGTTTCCGCCACAGATAAGAATCACAATACCGGCCACCCTTCTGTTATAGGTATTTTCAGCGCCGTCCGCTAGAAAAATAAGCGTATCCGATCACCGAACAACTCGTGACATTCCGGAAATTCGTTACCCTTTCTTCGATACGTGCAGCTGTCTGACCGATCGTTCGTCAAGTAACGAGGTCGTCGCAATTTCGTTCTCGCGAAATCGATGCGTCGATCAATCTTTCCCCCCTACCAACGATCGTTGTTAATTTTCAATTGTTGAGGAAACATCGCCTTGGCGGATACTTTCGCGTACCAAATCTATCCATTTCACTTAATCACTCTGCCCTACCGAATCACTCCTTCAATTTCGATTTAAGCGAACTCGATTTACATACGTAAGAAAATCCACTCCCACTCCCTCCCTGGTTGATATTCCCTTGCGAGGTCGTTTGCCGACGGTCTCGAAAAATAAAAGGAAAAAACATCATCGCACTATTCAGCTCGCCCAGTCGTTAGAGTCCAAGGAAACCGTCGGAGTCCATTCGGAATCAACGGATCGAGATCATTAAAACGGACCCTCCAAGTGTCCCAGCCGCGCCTCCAAGTGTACACGCTCTCGCGAGCTGCCGCTTTCGCGCTCGACAACGTGGCATTAAATAATCCCTGTGAAATTTCATATTTATACAAAGCCGCTAATTACGATTCGCGCCGCGTAAAAACGATCCTGCTCATTACACCCGAAACAATTAATTACGCGTACGGCCGTGAATCAAGAGGGCGGTGGTCGAGAATGGGAATTCTCGAGTTCAGCCGGACGGTTTTTCCCATTAATAGAGCCACGCAGTAACTCGTGAAAGTGTCCCTAGCGCCTGTAAAAATCTTTTATAAATGCATCTTTATGCCCGTTTCTGCAAAACGTTTGAAACTTTATTACCACTGCAATGAAGCTCGATAATCGCGATCACATCGGTGAAGTGTCAAATAAATCTGAAAATGTACACCCCTCCATTAGCAAAATACCAGTATAAAATCACCAGTTGCTCTAATCATGCTTCGTTACAATGAAATATTTCACATAGTACATACGATGTGATACTAGATGTAACTACAAGTAAACGTCATTTTTTGATACTGCACAAAATTTTATTTTATTTTATTTCAATACAGTTTCAATCTGTGATATAATTTAACAACACAGCACACTAAATATCAATATATTTAACTGGAATATAGATTTTGTTGTACTATGTATAATATCCCTAATATATACAGGGTGTTTCGTAACTTGTGGGACCCACTTCGGGAGCTGATTGTACGCCTAAAAATAATGAAAAAAAAGTCATATAAATATATCTGCTTTCGTTTATGAGATATAATGAATTTTCTGTTTTAATTACTTTTACAGAAGATGATCGAAATGGCCACGTTGCATTTGAAAACAAGCCTGCACGCGTCTTATCATGGATCTGGTTACTCTCTCTCTATCATTCCTGGTGTTTCTCGAATTTGTCGGAAGCCTTGCTCTATTCTATTTCGTAGTATTTCAGCATATTCAATAGATTTTCTTTCATGTAACTATTTGAAGATTCAGCAAATTTCGCAATACTCTCTAAATCAGTTCAGTTCTTACTAGTAATCGTAATACATATCGATAATAGAGCGAATATTACGATTATTAATATAGTATTATTATTATTATTATTATTATTATTATTATTATTATTATTATATTACGATTATTAGTAAGAGGTAAACTGATTTAGAGAGTATTGCGAAATTTGCTATATAAAATTGCTATATATATATCAAAGTTTTATATTCGGAAAATATGCTATATATTTGTAGTTTTATATTCGTTTTATATGCTATATATTCATTAGTTTTATATTCGCAAGATTTGCTATATATATATATATATATATATCAAAATTTTCTACGATAAAAATGTTCGAATACTTTCGTAAGTTATTCCACGCTCAATCGTTTCGTCTCTTTCTCATTGGTTTCGATCCCTTTTTCCATTCTCCCTCTCTCTCTTTCTCTCTTTTTTTTATTTTTGTCCCCCTCTTCACCGTATTTGTCGGCCACCAAACGCCGGTGGAAACGAACGCAGAACAATATTTCTCGGTGGCGGCGCGTCGGCTGCCGATAAATACGGACTTCGCACGTACAGCGAGGAGCACCCTACCGGTTTTGCGGTATCTCGAACGGCTTAATGGCACTGTTAACTACCGTATTATTTAACGGGGATTTATGCATTGCAGTCGGCCGATTAAAACGGCTGGCTGGCTGGCCAGGGATGAGGCCACCCGGTCTACTCCGAAACGATATAGGAAGATGGGGACACCGCGGGGGATGGAGTGCGTCCTTAATTCCTCGTGAAAACCCGCGCTCGGCTCGGACGCTGCTTCTGGCTGTCCGCCGTTTTCCTGGAACCAGCAACATTTCAAATCAGCGAAAATCGGTAAAGCCAATCCGAACATTCACCTATTTTGAAACATTCGAGAAAGCGGCGAGAAAAAGTTTCACAGCGAAAAGCCGTTATCGGTATTCTATTAGCGCGGAGACTGAATCTTCATCGCCCACAAATCGTCGATAACGTCGCGACCGAAGAAGATTCCGAATCTAATCTTCCCCAATCACGATTCCTTCAGCCACGCTTCTGCAACAGCCATTAGAATTCCCGCAACACATCAAATAGCAAATGGAAGGCTGTCAGCCGAAAGCAAGGTAAATTTTCAGCCAAGTGCCACGGAGCATCGCAAGAACGTTCGCGAGCGGAAACAATTCCGAGGTCGCGAGGTAACACCTTCGGTTGCGGATGTGAAGGAGGAAGGCTGCCGAGGATGGAACGAAGACGCCAGGCCAGACTTGGTGCGTCATCCACGTCACGATCGCTGCCAATGGGATCTCGGATCCAAGCGGCGATGCTATTGAGGATTTGCATCTCTTACCTTCCGCGGCGAATGCGGGAGGAAGCTCGCGTTCGTGAGCCGGTGCGACGAGAACGATGGGAAATCCGGTTGAGAGCATATAGGTATGCTCGCAGATGGCCGAGTGCGACGAAGACCGTGACAGTATATATATATATATATATATATATACATATATAACGGCGTCCCGGCGACCAGAATGGGACAGAGATAGTACACAGGGTGGAAAGAGGAAGAGAGAGTAAGAGGCAAACGAGAGAAACGGAGCATGGTCGATGTGTCTAGCCTAGCCTGGTTGGCTGGTTGGCTGGCTGGTTGGCTGGCTGGTTCGGGTGGCTGGATGAACCAGGGACCGTCTAGGTTGCGTCTGCCCCGCACAAACTCGGTATTATCTATACGTCTAGACACCCCTGCGCCACCGAGAGAAGACCATAGCGGTTTGGCGCTCCGCTTGTAATTTACAGCGCGCCCCGCCGTGTCTCTACGTCTACGATCCCGCAAATTTCTCTCCCCGGTCGTGTCTCTTTCTCTTCGTCTTCCAAGTTTCTCTCTCTCTCTCTCTCTTTCTCTTTCTCTTTCTCTTTCTCTTTATATTCTATTCATCTCCATCTTTCTCTCTTTCACCTTTCTTCTTCTTTTTCCCACGTTTTACTCTTGCTTGACCTTTGCTCTTGACTCTTCTATCATGCAGCCACATACACGTTCAAACGTTGTTAGCAAATCAACCATTATTCGCCATTCGATCTGTACCTTGATGTACAAAGTAATCTACATTCGCAAGGATGTCCGATTAAAATTAATGGTTAAAATGGAAGAACGACGCCAGGTCGCACGTGTTACGAGGACTTCGGTCGACGGGCACGCGAATCACCACGGGAATTCCTGGACGCTTCTCTCCGGGCTGTCGATGGAGCTCGCGTGCGCGACGCCGCCACTTCAGATATCACCGGCGTACGAGCGATCGAGGGGATCACGGCCACGTGAAAAGGGAAGCAGCCGTCAATTGGTATACACGGTGTACACAACGGGGCCGCGCGTGAAGAGAGTGCGAATATTGGTATCGCGATAACGAACGGGGAGCCCTCGCGTGTCCGAAAGTACGAGCCACCCCAGCCAGTGCAGCACGTTATCCCCGGAACACGCGTGTGTTATATCGGCGATCTCTCAGTGATTAATGCCAGCTGTTAGTACCAGGAGGCTCCAGTCAATTGAATCTCATCGTTCGGCCGCCGTATAAGCCTCGCTTCGTTGCCTTTATCCGCTTCTCTCTCTCTCTCTCCCTCTTTCGGGATAGTGCACGAGCCAACTATCCCGTTCTCGAAGAAAAGAAACTTATACACGCTTGTTTCAACGTCGACGCGTAAATAATAAATCCTGTGGAATCGCCTTACCGTGTCGGGATGAAGGAAAAGAAGAGAGGAGAGGCTGTCCATTTCCCCGAGGCTCCAGGTAACGGAAAGAATAAACTTTTCTTGGCGGACCGGTGGATACTAAAGTCCTGGCAGGTGCGTGGCACGTTAAACTTTCGAGTTTCGAGAACGCAATTTTCCCAAGGGAATCAGTCCTCGCTAATGCAAGAGTGGTTATAGAAGGAGAAAGAGATGAAGACGGAGAGAGGAAACAGGTATAAAGGGAGACAATATAAAGGGAGAGAGAGAGAGAGAAAGGGAGGGAGGAGGGAGAGAGAAACTGTATGCGGGCGGCAACAGCGACGAGGAGTTTGAGGGTTGAACGAGCTGACGCTTTAAGCGATGTAAGTTACAGAAACTACGCTTCCGACCAGTCTCGGGCGCAGATTAGTCGTAATCTCGGCGCATTGCACTCTGCAGCCGTTTCCAACCCCCATCCCACCCCGCCGCTACTGCTGCTGCTGCTGCTCGAGACCTCACAACTACAAAGCTTTCCAAACCGTTACCTTCTCGCTGAACCAAGACGAACGTATTAGACGCACCTAAATTCACGTACACCGGAGGCGTTCGTCGTGTGTTGCCTCGACATTGCGACACGCGGAACTCTCTGTATTTGCCACTGTATCGCCGCTTTGATTATTTCCTGAAGGCTTAAGCCACTACGTCTACGCCTTCCTCCGTGCGGCTACACGGTTACAACTCGCGCGGCGAAGATTAAACGCTTCTTGGTTTATGGCCTCGTAGCCGGCCCCTCTTACGCGACTTGGTTTACCTTGGCTCAACGAGATTTTCCGCGCTTCCTACCTTTTATACGGCTGTTGCTGAAAATCGATAGTCCGGTGATCGCACCTTCGCGCTCGAAAATGTCGTACCTTCGCAATGTGCTTGCTTATTGCACTAAGTTAGCGTCTATTCCTGGCAACAATTACGTGAGTTTTCACATAAATTTTGTTGTTAGTCTCTCATTGAAAATGGAAATGGGACTAGAGACTATGGCAACGGGCGTGCTATCGAACAAACCACGCGAAGATTCTCCACTTGATTGTGAATAATTCCAATCGCACATTGTTGTTCATTTCTGTTTCTTTTCGCGAAGAAATGACGGACGAATCGCAAGGCAAAATAGAAAATAGAAGTGGAAAGACCAACGAGAAGGATCCAGTGACACTCGATAGCATTTGGTAGAGATACGCAACAGGCAAACAATGCAATGAGTATTATTTACGCGATATAAATGAGTTTTACTAATGTCGAACGAAATACGTGAATTTCAGTAAGGAAGTTATACTACGAGACGAGTTGTTTCGACGCAACTGGTCCAGAAAGTACGAACAGCTGTCGGGTGATTTTTTTAAGAAGGTACCACGAGCCAACCGGAGAGAAACGCACATCGTACGAATTTTAATGTTACCCGGTGTCACTGACCGTAGGTGCTAGCCGAAGAATGCAAAAAGGAGGGATTTCCGGCGGACACTTTCCAATACAAACCGCCGGATGATGCGATTAAGCGTTCACCGATTCTTCTGAAACCATCGCCGTCCATTCCCAGAACGACATCCGGTATGATTGGCTTACGATCATCTCATCCACAATACAATCTCGAGTTTACAGGTCGCTGGTATATTTCGCCCAAACAAACGATCGAACCACCCGTGGAACCTGATGAATTTCGTGTCAGGCAGCAAAGATTCATCTTTCTTGGTTAAGTAATGGAATATATTTTTTATAGACAGGGCATTGTACTAAATCGTCCTGATTAACTTACATTTTTATTATATTAACATACAGCGGTAAAATGGCTTAGGCGAATAGAAAGGAAAAAGAAAGATAAAGAGAGACAGGGAGAGGAGAAAGATGGCAGGTCTAAAAAGAAGAGAGTAACGAAATAAACATGAAATAAAATGAAAGAATTAGATTAAGATACTTAAGTAGACAAAAGAATAGCATAGTTAAGATAAATATAAGCATAGGACAAAGTAAAATGTAAATATATATTACAAAATATTATGTAAATATTATAACATGTAAAATTTCGGATAAATGCAATGCGAAATGTACAATGTAAAAACCAAAATCAATTTCAAGGCCAAAGAGACTGAAATAAGTATATACATACATATTATATTAATATACGTTAATGTAACGTAATATTTGAGTTATCCTTCATTTCCGAATATTCTTTTTATTTCCAAAACATGGAAAACCTTATACACAAACTTTGTGCATTTGATTCCAGTAAGAAAAAATGGGATTTCATTTATTTTATTTTATTCTTCGCATATTTACATTCCAAACCATTTCTGTTTGAGAGTCGGCGGTAATTTCTCCGTCAAAGACATGGGGTTCACTTCAACTGCCACTAACTCCTCATCTGTCAACCAGTCTAGGTACACAAGATGCTGAAAACAGTGATTGTAACAATTTGATCTTCGTATATTCGAACTATACAATGTTATAAATAAAATTTACCTTGTATTTTTTGAGAACTTGAAAAACCTGCTGAGACTGCGAGTTCATTACAAAATTATTGTCGTCAACGTCACCGTTCTCGCGTTTTGGAATTTTCAGTTCCTTTTCTAAAAACTCGTTCAATTTGTCCATGACATAAACAGTTGAGTCGTCGTGCATTATTATAATATTCTCGTTACGTGGATCAAAAATGATATTCGTTATGGGGAACGGCCGGGCCAACCATTGCTTGGGAAGCCGATTTTGTAAATTATTCGAAAAGTTGGTGTATTGCCTTTGCAATATGTTATATTCGACGATCTGAAATGAAACGATCGACGATTAAGTGTGAAAGATGATTGTTCATAAAATGTGCAGCTTTATAGTTTTTAATTTCGCGTGTAATATTGGAAGTTATAGTGATAATTTACTGCAAGTTTCATGAGAGACAGAAAGTGCAGGTCATAGAAAGATTATAGCGCTCTTTATAGCTAAGTTAATTACTATTAATTTATCGTTTTATGATACTAGATCATTTTAAATGAGTCAAATTTTTATATCCCAGGATTAAGGAAAATCCCTGTTACACGGTGTAAAAATTGAATTTTTTTACTTTACCTTGTGGTCAGAATATACAATAACTAAATTTAACGTGTTTTCTTGACACGCCATGGCTGTTGGTGGACAACTGTACTTGGGCAATAACCATGCCATAGGTCTGTCATTACTTGCAGTTTCATTAATAGTGTACACAGCAATCCTACCCACACGATCGGCACAGACAAAATATTTATTATCAGGAGAAAAACAGGCGATTCCAACATTTACAATGGATTCCTTATTCGTATAAAAAAAACCAAGATGCCTTAGACGTTTCTTTTCAACTTTATACAATGTTATAATGTTATTTTTTCCATCATTATTTATCGTTACAAATAACTGTCCGTTCGGACTAAATAACATTTTCTGTACTTTGGTTACGGAAATGTCAGTGTCATTTCTTGATAATTGTGGATCACCCTCAATTACATCAAAGTTAAAAACTCTAACATGACTATCGGTGGAATAAACAATTGTCTTAGCATCCCTATTTATCGCACACGAAAGGATATTTTCTTCTCTTTTTGTTTTTAATTGTAGCAATTTTATAGGCTCCTCTTCTAGTTGATGGATCATACCAGGACGTATTGATTCTGAAGGTACTTTAGTAGATGACCCAAGCCTCCACAGTTCAAGAAAGTTTGTATATTGTAAAAGAATGCATCTGGATTTTCTACAAACGTTGGCACATGGAAGCTGGAGTAACGGTGGATATTTAACCAAAACTTTTGGCGGATAACTAGACTGAGCTAGATATCCATCCACACCGGCTGAATATAATTTTCCATCTGCTTCTACTAAAGCTCTTACGTCATGAGTATGTAACCTTCTTTCAATTCCTTTAACCCACTGTGGTCTACCACTTGATTTCATAGTTATTTTACAAAAACTCCTCACTACAGGATCAACACCAGCGCAGTACACGATATTCATATCATGGGACAAAGTAACAGCTAATATGTCAGCTGTATGACTTTCATGAGATTCAATCAAGGTACCCATATGAGGATCCCAAAATGATAAACAGCCACGTGAATCTCCAGAAATTATAATGTTGTCATCTGTAACCGCTAGACACCAGATAATAGTTTCTTTCTTCGCTTCCTTTCTGGAAGTTGTCATTTTATGAACTGCATGGCCAGATATGGCATTCCAAACCCTAATCGTGTCAACTGATCCTGTGTAGATCATGTCCCCGGTGTTGTCCCATTTAATACAAAGGATTCTTCCTTTCTGTTTGTCAAATATCCTTTCGTACATCAATACATCGGGCAAAATGGAGAATGTATTAATATATCCATCCTCTGTACCAACAGCTAAACGTGTCTTTTTATGATTAACATCCATACACCAGGCTGCGCCTCCGTTTACTATAACCTCGCTTTTAATAGACAATGTTTTTAAATCGTACTCTGTTATCATACCGTGAAGACCAGTTGAAAACAATCTCTGATCTACCCACAGGATGGATTCTATAGAGCATTCTGGATGACCAGGTATCATACATTCCACAAAAGGTGCATTTCCAATGTTCCAAATTTCAATCGAATTATCATTTCTGTAAACATGTCGCTATATGTAATATTATCATTTATGATGTTTAAATAAAAAGCATACTTTGGGAAACTAACCTTGCAAGTGTTAACCTCTTTGTCTTAGGTTCATAAGATAAACACGTAACAGACCGAGGTTCAAGATTATAAAACCTAATATTATGTATTTTACAAGTTGGCATGATTCATTCGATTCTTTACAAACACTTATAATAATATTTATATTATTAAATTCTGCATTGCAGACTACACAGTAGAAAGTATAACCACAACTATCGTACATACACGTGGGTCCTGAACCTCAGAAGCGACATTTTTCATATTCTTACGTTGGTAACAATTACGAATTAGCTCTTCCAAGAACACGAAATTTTCAACGAAATTAAACAAAATCATCAGATAAGTGATAAAAATATATATATATATATATATTTATTTTTTGTAATTCGATATCCACTTATAATTTACAATTACTTATAAAAATATTTTATCATAGATTTTCTTCATTTGCCATGAAGTTCACAGTTAGATAATATCTGGATATTTTATGAAATAGATAATATCAAAATTCTTCACTAAATTCTTTTTACGTATAGATAGAAACGGTATCACGTAAGTGTGCAATGAAAATTGAAATATCTTTATAAAGAAATAATGAGATCATCCTTGGTTTAATAATAATGAGAGGATGATCATGACTTTGGAGATGAGAATTTGTGACATTACGTAATATTTTTCTTGGAAAATCTAATATATATGTCGTATATGTTATTAACTATTTAATCTGAACAATACATCGCGACGCGTTACGCAGGCGCAAACTCGTCGCATCTCAATATTTAACCTACTTCATATCAGTTACACACTCGTATGGGTTTCAGTCAAACGTTCCGTCTTTGTGGTATTGTATACACATATACGTGTTGGTAGTTGGTAGAAACCACACTGTACTACACAAGTAATCAAGATCAACGGTGTAATCTTCTTGGAGCAATCATCATTTTAAGCAGTGTCAGTCGTTTCTTCGTTCGAAGAACTTAAACGTTTCCTGAAAGAGGTAAATAAATACGGCTTGCATTCGGCGCACGAATGTGATTATCGATTGTATGCCATTTTCAGAAAGTGCGCATGACGCATCAAGTTGACGTGTACAATTAGCAGTTTATTTCCCAGGTTAATATTCGTAATAATCATTCGTAATAAACATTCATAATGTTATTATAAAAATCACTTCTTAGGATCAACGCGTGAACTTCAACGTTTTCATCGCACTAATTGGCGACATAGGAAAACGTTGAAGTATCGTCATGTCACTGCCGTATTTCGTAATGTTATATTTGCTGCCGGAACAAAATCATTTTGTACTTCCGATAAATTTCGATTAATATAGATTAAAATTTCAAAATTATTGATTTCCAAGAGAGGTGTGTTACAAATAAGAATGCTTGTATGTAAGGTTGTTAATTTCTGCTTTTTTTTTTGTCCGTAGAAAGTATGTCGCAATCTATGCTTTTAACGAAAATATATTTTTTAACAGCAACATTAGATTGTAACAATTCGTATAACATTATACGTAAATATAGTGATAAGTATTAATTGGTGCCTCTAATTTTGTTTTCAGCTGACCTTAATGCCTTGAAAAAAATTAATAAAAGTTAATTATGCTCATATTTATAGTGCTTAATGGGTGACATGTAAGTGAATTTTTCTATACCAAGAAAATTATCTTGTTAGAATTCTTTCAATAAACATCCATAAAACCAAACAATGTCATTTAAATAGTATTTATAAATATGAGCAGTCTTGTAATGTTTAAATCTATTTCAGCTACTTTATGTGATATTATCTTACTTAGTTTACTCTATTGATGTTTAAAACAATCCTATTTAAAAATTGAAAATTTTTTTTTAATGATTTTTATAAATTTTATCATTAAAAGATTTGTAATCGATTATTATTTTAAAGTTAACATTTCTCTTATTTAAAGATACATAGATATGATAATTATCTTAAAATTCAACATTATTTTTTAACTTTTCTTTACCATTGTACTTTTAAGGATGAGCATGCATATTTGGAAGTTTTAAAAAAAGTATAACATTAACACATGAATTTAATATAGAAATTTCTAACATAATATTACATTGAATGTTAAAATGTTTTGACATGTGTTGAAGAATAAATTCTTTTTAGTGGTTTTATATCTAATTTTGTTTTAAGGCTGTTGGTACATTCGTGCGCTGGTGTTCCATTGATGTTCTATGTTCAACAGTATTTTATGATAATAATAGCCTCTTTTTCAGTTAAAACAAAAACCAAAAGATGGCAGAACATTGGCAGAACACACCAGGTGCAGGATTTTATGCAGGGCAACAAGGTTCTGATCTTTTTCCTAAGTTACATATATTCTTCATTGATATTACACCTTAAACAAAATATTTAGCAAGCTACAAATGCCATGTTGCTTATTTCAAGTTTGTTCCAACGTTACATGTTATTTCATCAAGCGTAATTTATGGCTATTAGTTATAGAAAAAATAATAATGTGAAAATAATGAAAAATTAATATAATTAAAACATGTTATGTGATTGCCTTAAAAAAAAGAAATTACAAATTGAGAGGAAGCAATGTATTTAAAAAAAAAAATCATGCACCAATATTTAGTGGCTGTTAATAGAGCACAAAAACTTATGAAGGGTGATGCTTAACTCAGAATGAAAACTCTGTCTAGATGTAATATTTTATTTTTTTTTTTTCAAATTTGATTGTGCAGGTTATCCTCAACAAAATCCTGGGTATCCACCTCAAGAAGGATATAATCCTGCATATCCACCTCCTTACGGAGCAAATCCACCACCTCCACCAGGTTTGTTTAATCTCATTATTTTTTTTTTTTTTTATACTCTAATGCTGTAATGTCTTTGGAATGGCCGTGACATTTTGTTTATTTTTAGGTTTTGTTCCTTCAGGAGCACCTCCTTACGGGCAAGTTCCACCAACTGGGCCAATATTTGGCGCAGGACCACAAGCAGGCATGTACGGGTCAAATTATGAGGATCCTATGCAATCTGATGTTATCAAAGGATTTGAATTCAATGATAAAAGCATTAGAAATGGATTCATCAGGTATTATAATCAACAATATCATTAATGATGTATTATCATCAATAATATCTTGTAATATTTATAAAATTTAATTTTTATTTGTTTTCAGGAAAGTGTACAGTATATTGATGCTCCAATTGTTAATCACAGTATCAATGATTGCACTTTTCCTTTATCACATACCTACTCAAAAATTTGTGAGGAGTCATACGGAATTGTTTTGGATTTCTTTTGCAGCAACTATTGTCCTGATTATATGTATGGCTTGTTGTACCAGTGTGAGGCGAAAAGCCCCAATGAATTTTGTATTTTTGTTCTTATTCACTGTAGCAGAAAGTTTCTTGTTAGCTACTGCTGCTTCTACGTACAACTCTGAAGAAGTAAGATCCTAAACATTACAGCTCATGATTTTTTTAGTTTTTCACATATTAAAATAATTATCTAATAAAAACCATTTTATCAAATATTTCTAGGTATTATTGGCCGTTGGAATTACTGCAGCCGTTTGCCTTGCATTAACAGTATTCGCGTTCCAAACGAAATTCGACTTCACTGGTTTGAATAGCATTTTGTTCATTGCAATGGTCGTTTTCCTACTTTTTGGAATAATTGCAATGATATGGCATGGAAAAATTATGACTTTAGTATATGCATCGATTGGAGCTCTTCTTTTCTCCTTTTACTTGATTTACGACACTCAAATGATGATAGGAGGAAAACACAAGTACACGATTTCTCCAGAAGAGTACATTTTCGCAGCACTGAACCTTTATATCGATGTTGTTAACATTTTCCTTTACATTTTGACAATTATTGGTACTTCACGAGATTAAATATTGTAAAATATATTTTTTCGTCGCTGGATTAATCTTTAACGCAAAATGCTTTTACTTATCATTGTTCTGTTTTGACTCTCTTTTTTTTTTGTACATAGAGAGTACATTACAGAAAAGCAATGAAAGGCATTAAAAGAAAAGATATTGGCTTAAAAGAAAAGAAGAGTATTAATTTCTATGAGATAATAGCTTTTACACAATTTTCAATATATAGCCAACACAGAGATTACAAATTATTTTAAAGTTCGACGTCTAGTCTTGTAAGTCAAGTAATTCCTATACTCGCTGGAGCAAATGAGTCAATCGTTATATAGTTGGAAATATATACATATAAATAGGGTTATAAAAAACACAAATACATAATTTACACATTTAATCATAATTTCTTGTTTCATCTTCCCTATTTAAAAAAAGTATCCGTTTGCATTGAATTCACTTAGAAAGGTATAATTTATTTTGTAAAAATAATTATTTTGTAAAACTGATCGGTTTTTTTTCATTAAAATATAAATAAATTGTGTATATCCAGCAAATAAGTGATTTCATTGTTGTAATATGTAATATGAAATACATTTTAACAATATTAATATCTCCCCCCGTTAGATATAGAAATATAATTCCAAATTACCTTACTAATGTATACATATATTTACTTGTTATGTGTGTTAGAAAATAGATGTTATATTATTTCAATATATTTGCATAACAAAATAAAAATTCCAAAGTATTAAATATTATCTACATCTTTTGTTGTATAAATTTATTTTGATTTTTTCACTGCTATAAAACAAAATGAGAATTGTATGGTGATCATTCGATTTAATATTACTATTGTTGTATGATGTCACTTTATTAAGTATCTATTGTTGTTATTATTATTATTATTATTTATATGTATTGCAAAGGGAAATAAAAACAACTACTTCGAAATCGTGAATATTTATATTTGTAGTAAATTAGTCTTACACAAATAGGATAAAAGCTCAGTTTTAAGCTTTTAGATTTTAACTTAAGATGTAAATAAGCATATATAGTGCAATGTCCGTATGAAAAAGCATTCAATGTTCACATAGATTTTTTTTTAAGATCAAGAGCCCACATTCATTCTCACTTTTCTCATTATGGTAACAAATTGCAGCCTCATATAACAAACAAATTGTTTCTAGTTGACTTTGTTCGTGCAACAACGCATGGAGTTTCATGGAAAACAAAGCTCCATCCATCAGTATATATTATTGATTTTTTGTTCATTATAAAAGCTGTGATGGAGGTTTAACGCTTGTATACATGCAATAGACACATAAGTACAGTCATATATACGACAAACAGCATTTATAACCCATCCTCTGAAATCCAGGTATAATTAAAAAACTTCACTTTCATATTGGAGTTAGTTCTTTTTATACTCTTTGAATTAATTTTAGACATATCTTTATCAGAAATTTCATCAAGTAAGTTCAATTGAATTTGATTAGGCAGTGTTGTGAAGAGTTTAATTATTCTATTATGCTTTTTTAAATTATGCTCTAAATCTATCCACAAATCTATTTTGAGTGGCACGAGCTTGATATATATATATATCTATTGATATATATATAGTATATTATGCGCCGTTAAAATAAATAAGATTAGCAGCACCGATTAGAATTTCTTTCCACCCTTCGATCAACCGTTACTCTATCAGGAGCATCTTGTGGTTCTTTCCCATGAGTTTTTTCCAATATTGCTTCAGCTAATTCACTAAATGCACGATCGATATTAATGTTTGCTTTTGCAGATGTTTCCATAAATCTGATTCCATGCTCTCTTGCTATCTAAAGGAGAATGTCAACTTATTAGTATATAATATTTTTGTAACCTACGTACAATTTAAATTGTTGATATTTTACCGCTTCTCCTCTTTCTGTACTAACAACACGTTTGTCTTCCATATCACTTTTGTTTCCCAGTATCATCTTTTCCACATCTTCATTTGCATGCTAAAATTAATTAGAATTAATAAATAAACGATGATTATAATCGACTGTATTTACATATAATAGAAAAGCTCACAATTATACTTACTTCATCAATATTTCTCAACCATTTAACAATATTTTCAAATGTTTTTTCATTAGTAATATCATAAACAAGCATAATACCCATTGCACCTCTATAATATGATGTAGTAATGGTATGAAATCTTTCTTGACCTGCTGTATCCCTGCAAATACACAGATTAAGGGCTGTTTAGAAAAATTTAATATTTCACAACTTACCATATTTGTAACTTGATTTTCTTTCCTCTTAATTCCACTGTCTTGATTTTAAAATCGATACCTAAGTGACAAAAAGCATATTGTTCATTTATCTAACATAGTCCTCAATATATTAACATCTATTTACACAAAACAATCAACAAAGACAACAATGTTGTTACTTGAGAGAGATAAATTTTTCTACATATTCTCTTAATATATATTGTCTTAACACGTTAAGGCAATCACACTTTGATGGTCAATTATTTATCGTTCAATCAACTTGAATTCGTAGTATTATTATTTCGTTTCAGTGGCATAACCTACTACGCCGAAGAAAAAGAATACGCAATAACAGACAATTTGACCAAGGAAACAAACGAACGGCAGTTATTTCGACAGTTTCTCTTACCTATTGTTGAAATAAACGTTGTTGAAAAAGCATCGTCCGAAAATCTGAACAATATACAAGTTTTGCCAACTCCAGAATCACCGATCAGCAGCAACTTGAACAACAGATCGTACGTCTTTTTCGCCATTTCACTGTTGCTCCGCGTTAACGAGGCGCCGAAGAAAACAAAAAAGATTCGAACCTGTGGAGCACGATTAATCGTTTTCCAGAAGATGTTTCGAACATCGAACGCTATGAACGATTATAGGTTTCAAGGTCGGACGAGGGCGCGTCTCAACGTACAACGGTGCCTTGTTAACGACGGAAAAACCGGTCACAGGGGCTGACTATTAAAAGACAATACGACGTCACACAACAGACGAGCACGCAGAAGCATCGGGGTAACTTTGCACTTTCCGTCCGACCACAAGACTGAACGGAGCTGCTGGATTATCAAGCGACCAACGATTCTTAGCACGACCGTTTCTTCATCGTAATTAGCGGTAATCGCAAAACTCTGCCGGGTTCAATTGCGAATATTCTATCTACCACGGGAGGTCACCACCACTGCAAGAATAATTTTAAATTACCCGGATACTAACGGGATACACATGTACGAAGTTATTATCGGGCTATGGTTGTTTGTATAAATTCATGTTCCTCCGATCAAACAAGTGGAATCATGAAAACGATGATTTCTTACGATTTTCGAAATATTATTTTTCTATCTCCAAGCGTGTTATAATGCCTCACTTTGGACATAGTACGTACATATTTTCCGTACTATGAATAAATTCTGCACACTCTCATAAAGGTACAAATATCTGCAATTTAGATATGATCTATTTCATCGATTTCACGTTAACAATTTTTATACACGTTTGTATTCCGTTACTTTCGATGCGTGTCAAAATACATTATGAATATTTTGTCATGCAGTGTAGTTTTTCTTATTCAGTGAACATACTTTACAATTACTTTCATACTTGAAAAATTCACGATTGATAAAGTATGTTGCTCGTTTTGCAATCTTTTCAATGTTTAGATGTGGCGGGAAGATATGTTGATAAATGCTATGTATATGAAGGATAATAATGGCATTGAGCAAAAATAAAATAGATTTCACATTCAGCCCTTTTCAGCGTATCACGTTTTGAGGATCATCCTACACTCTTATCATTTTCGTGTTACACGCAAACTTATCGATTTAGTAGAGTAATGGTTTAAATTAAAAATAAATTTTCTTACGAAGTTACAAATAAGGTGTAGAACGGAAGATTATTACCTATTATAATAGGGTAGAATCCAAAAAATTTTATAGATTGAAAAAACATATCATAGATTGAATTCAATTTTACAGAAATATAATTATATTTTTTTAGATTTGTAAATAATATGTTACTTTATAATTCGTTTCATATAATTTCTTTATAATTTCAAATGAAGGAAATTATATTTTGCATTATTGATCACGATAATTGATTCATCCACGAAAAATACTATTGTTACATACTGTACATACATTACAATGTACATTCTGAAAACAAATGAATTAAAATGTATAAAGAAACAAATGAAACTGCGAAAGATTATAAATTAATCCTGTTAATTAGCTTTTCTCGCAAATGTAAATATCGAATCATGGACATTACAGTATCGTAGTGATAACAAGTAGATAAAAATTATCGAATTATATATACAGTGAAGTAATTTGATGAAATAATTTCAAACTTTAAAAAAGAAATTAAATAATCAAAAGATCGATAAAGCAGAAATTGTATGAATCGGTAATCCACAGTTATATGCTACCATCTATTGAATTGTGTATATTTTATTTCTAATCTGACACAATAGATGGCAAAACTTCAAATGTTTTTGTCAAAAAAAAAAAAAAAAAAAGAAAAAAAATATAATTGATTAATTTCATCGTTACGTGATATTAATGTTTTAATGTCCATGATTAGACTACATTTTCGTTTATAATAAAAAGAACTAATTAACAGGATTAATTTACATACTTTCAAAACTTTCTTCCGAATTAAATGCTCAGCTTTCTTCTAATATCCATTTAACCTATGAAATACATTTATAAAGATTTGCCACAAATTGAAGCACTTGCCTGAATATTTAACTTCCGGGCAAACAATGCGAAATTTGAATCAAAATTGTTTGTGAACGTCCATTAGAAGTGTGAGTAATAAATTTCACACTTTCGAATATGAGTTTTTATTTCATCAATTAATTATTAACAATTACGTCATAGCGATATTTACGCAGTTTTCGTTATATTGATTTAATTCAACTTCCTGTGTATAACGCAGTGTATAAAGTTTAAAAAAAATTCTACAATTATATGGCACGCAATTTACAATACATCTTTCAATTTATAAACCTTAACTACATATCTTATAACAGACTTACGTACATAACCAATATTGCATTTTATACCATCCTTAATAATTCATACTTACATACAAAACTTCATGAATTTTAATTAATTTAGTCGAATAATAGGTGCAAATACTTTTCAAAATATAGATTTATTGATGTTAACAGTTGTCTCTTCTGAATTATTTACAAAAAATTTCAAATATCCTCTGACGAGTAATGAACATAGAAAATTTGCTTCAGAACATGTACTGTAGGTGGCGCTGGCGATTAAAGATCTCTGTGTGTTGCTGTCACATGTCTTCACAGTTCGCAGTTTTTGTCGGGACAGAGCCAGACGCATGTGAGTATGAAAGAGTACAGCTCAGTGAGGCGCATCGTCGAGTAAAAGCCGTACACGCGTGGCCATACGTTACTTTCTCTCGTCACACGTGATTAGAACTATGGCAGCTAAAATGCAGCACTTTGATCCACCTAGCTCGGCGAGTTCTGAAAGGTGAGCGACGATATTTTACTATCCGTTTTGTCTCTCTACTCGAGTAAACATGCCGAGTTCATCGATGTTTCAGCGATGATGCTGAAGTTTGTTTGGACGAGAAGGAAATTTTTCTTGCTGATGAATTGTGCGAAGATGCCGAACATTACAGACGTTCTGACATTGGAACACCAACACCGCAATCTCCGAGACCACCTTCCACTGGTGAGATTGTCATATCGAACATTTTCTCAATATCGCTTTTCGAAGTATTTGACACTTGCGTTTTAGTCGTTTCCCAAAATTAAATAAGCCACGTACTTACAGAGTCAGTGATATGGAGTACCTGTGTTTGGCAAGCAGGATGTACTTGGTTTACTGAAGTAGAGTCCCTTTGTCATTTGAAGAAAACAGTCAGAATTTCCAAAAGTACCTTCATCCTTTACCCTTTATCCTGTCCTTCACAATTGAAAGGAAATTTTTGTTCCCAATTTTTATTTAATTATATTTATTTAATCTGTGCAATCTTGAAATTGAATCAAAGAGGATTTTTTGTGCTTGCATGACAGGTTCTCAGAGATCACCAAGGTCAAGGAGGCAACGTACTACTAGCTTATCACAGTCTAGCAAAAAGACCTCCGCAGAGTCTATCCTGAGAAGTAAAACAAGAACAATATATACAGCTGGTAGACCACCGTGGTATAATTCGGCTGGCCAGCAAGTGGAGCCCTTTGTAATTGGTTGGTAATCAAAGCGTATAATATATTTACTGCTTCAAAGGAAAGGAATGTATGATATTAACAGTTTCATTTTAGGTATTTGTGGGGGTAGTGCATCTGGAAAAACTACAGTTGCAACAAAAATTATAGAATCTTTGGATGTACCTTGGGTAACTCTTCTCAGTATGGATTCATTCTACAAAGTATTTATTCATTATTATTAATGCCACTGATCCAGGGAGAAATACAGATATCATGTGTGACAGTTTTTCTCTATAGGTACTGAATGAAAAACAGCACGAAATGGCTGCGCATAATGAGTACAATTTCGATCATCCGGACGCGTTCGACTTCGAGCTACTTAAAACAACGCTGCAGCGTTTAAAGGAGGGAAGAATGGTGGAAGTTCCTATCTATAATTTTGTAACGCATCGTAGGGAAAGTAGAACTGTACGTCGGTATTGGCAAAATTAATGTGTAAATGACAAACGTATCTCGCGCACATGATACATTTTTTTTCTTCATTTTAAAGAAAACAATGTACGGCGCCAACGTGATTATATTTGAAGGAATATTGACGTTCTACAATGTCGACGTTCTGAAGGTAAGTCGATGTACTGTCCGAAAAGTAGAATGAGTGGGTTTGAACGACAGCAGTAAGGTACGAAAGTAAAAATCAAATTACCACTGATTTGCTTCCTTCGATTGGTTAAGATGTGCGACATGAAGGTGTTTGTTGATACTGATGCTGATGTGAGGCTTGCTCGGAGATTACGTAGAGATATATCGCAGAGAGGGAGGGACTTGGAGGGTGTGCTAAAGCAATACAGCACTATGGTGCAACCTGCTTTTTATTATTATATAGCGCCATTAATGGTTCACGCGGATATTATCGTGCCTCGCGGTGGAGATAACGAAGTCGCGATAGAACTCATTGTACAGCACGTACATACTCAGCTTCAACTGGTAAAAATCATCGATCTATTAAATCCCGCTCTCCTTTGCCACGTTTACTTATCTCACCATTTCTTATTCCAGAGGGGTTTCAAACTTAGAGAAAAATTAGCTCATTCTTATATTGGTCAGCCATTGCCATCTTCTCTCTACTTGCTTCCAGATACACCACAGATTAAGGGTCTTCACACATTTATAAGAAACAAGGAAACGTACAGGGATGAATTTATATTTTATTCCAAACGTTTAATACGTTTGGTTATTGAATACGCGCTATCTCTCTTACCATTCGAGGTAAATGCAACACATAATGTGTGTCAGTGAAGTACGATTAACACGTCTTCGTGTCATCGTTTAATATTTCACGTGTTCGTAGGAGGTAACAGTAGAAACGCCACAAGGAGTACTATATCCGGGGAAACGCGCCGCTACGGATAAGATATGCGGTGTTTCGATTTTGCGTGCCGGCGAAACTATGGAGCAAGCTGTTAGGGATGTATGCAAAGACATAAGAATAGGGAAAATACTTATACAAACGAACCAACAGACTGGAGAACCAGAGGTAAGTGTACTTTTTAATTTATATCCATTTAAACGTCAATATAAAAGTTACGAATATTTCTTGCAGCTTTACTACCTTCGACTACCAAAAGATATTAAAGACTACAAAGTAATATTAATGGATGCAACAGTAGCAACAGGTGCAGCTGCCATTATGGCTATCAGAGTTTTATTGGATCACGATGTTGCCGAAGAGAACGTGTTACTTGTATCCTTACTTATGGCAGAGTCCGGTGTCCATTCGATTGCTTACGCGTTCCCACGCGTAAAAATCGTCACGTCCGCCTTAGATCCTGTGATAAACGAGAAGTTTTACGTATTGCCCGGTATCGGTAACTTTGGCGATCGATACTTTGGAACCGAGCCATCTTCCATCGAAGATTAAGGAAATAGCTTAAGGAAATCTCAGATTTCGATTCTCGAAACCATTTAATCTGTTAATGCAAATACAGTAATCTCATATATCTTTAATAAAATTTGTGTTACACTGGGAAATGCGCGCGGCGTTTCTATTGACTTCCACCCTGCGCCGTGCAAATTTCAACTTGTCAATCTACTTAATTGCACGATTAGAGCGATGTTGTGTCGATGTTAGAGCCAACCAAGCCTCCTTCCGCAGTGGTACCCGTGCTGCGCAATTGCCTGTAACCTTGTGCACTTGCCCTGCGCGAACGGCGCCAAGAATCCAAATGGCCAGAGCTGGCGTTACTCGATTGTCCCAGAAGATACGTGATCATTCGATCAAGCGCGGCCAAGTCTTCGCTCGTGTGGCCAGTGTTACCCAAACCTTCCGGTGGATTAAAACCACTGGACACTGGTGTGTCTTGCTTCTGATCAGTATTTTTAACGTTATTTATTCCGCTGGTAGCGTACAGTCCGAGCTTTGATGTAAACTGAAACAAATTATAAATAACTTTGGTGAACATGAAAAACTCTTCAGGTTTTTTTTTTTCAACTATGTACCTCCTCTGGACCGCGTTGACCGTAACTCGATCTTTGCACCTTGCGGAATGTATCGTCATCTACGGCTTCGCGCACTGCCTCGTTCAACGTTTGTTCCAGCACTCGTTGTTTTGTCTTGCTCAATCCGTCGTAGAAGCTGGTAATAATGTTTCTTTAAAAATTTCTTACACGTCGTAAAACATTGGGTAATATAAATTGCGTATTGTACGTTCTTAAAACAGAGAAGGAAACTTCAGAAGTTTCGAATTACGATTTTCTTTTATCTTCACGTGAGAATTACAGAAGCGCAAGAACTTTATAGCTATTGCAACGTGAAATATTTCAGTCTGTTACCTCGAATCCAGGGAGCTGTTATCTCGTGAAATATTCTTATCACGGACCAAGCGAATATCGTGTTCCCAAAAGCGACGTAGTTCCGGTGTTGATGTGTACGGCGCAGCCACTTCTTTAATCTAATCGGAAACCATCGGTTTAATTTTAGAAACTCTACTCTGTTCTTTTTTCAATGTTTTATAATTTCTTATTTCTAAACTAGAAATTTAACGATGTTTCGTTGTATATTATGAATATCATGAATATTCTTGATAAAACTGATCTAATTTTAGTGTATTGTGTCTTTTTTTATAAAAATTGTTAGTAATTTCTTACGAAAACCTAAAAATTTCCTTTTTTAGTAAATTAAATCAGCACATTTACCGCGGATGTTACTCCAGCATTATTACGTGGTTACACGATCATGCGATAATGGTATCGTGTTATCAGCAATTATCACGAAAAAATTTACATCACGCGCGGAAGGTGATTTTCCTTGATTGTCCTTGAGAAATCGCTCGTTTCCGCGACCTTGCTCACCTTCAACACAATGATCGCCGTGATGAAGATGCACATAACGTTAACAAAGGTCAGGCACGCGCTGATTATCCCGTTGCAGAAGAATTCAACCGGCAGGTAATCGGTGTACACATAGACGTACGAGGTGTTGTAGTCTGTGTACGATTCTCCTTTCATGTGCGGCATTTTAATCGGTCGATAGATTAACCATATACATCCGAGTGCCCAGAATAAACCCTGCGGGAATAAATTTTATCGATTGCCAGCTCCAGATTAACTGCCATCCATTAATCAACCCTGATGGAACGAGACTGCCGCTCGATTGCCGATACCTCTTTTCGTATCTATCTTCCCTCGCGAATTATTCTGTCCGTGTCGATAGCCGGCCAATTTCAATGTCCGTCCGATATAGAGGGATATATTTCGATTCACGTGGTCGTGAATAAACAAGCGACGAAAATCTCGTAAATTCTCGATTCGATCGTTAAGAAACTTTTTCTTTTTATTCGGAAGAGAGAGAGAGAGAGAGAGAAAGGCCATAAGTGACCGAACTGTTCGATTATTTTTGTCAAAAGTAAAATCTCTTTAAGAGAAATCACATTTTCCCTACGTGGTCTTCGTATCTCTTCATATTTAAAACTAAATCCATATCTGATTCCATACCTGATTAACTACTACTCTCTACATTTATAATTCGAAAAGAATGTTAAAAGAATTTAAACAGTAAGAAATCATATTTTTCCCCATGTGATCTTCGTACGAGTCTTCTTTGCGATTTGTGAGTTTGATTTGTGAATTGATCATTCGTTACTCACGCAGTTAACCACTGGTGGTAGCAATGAGGCCGATATTGCGACTCCGATCAGGGGACCGTTGCTTCCTTGAAGCAAAGCCACGGCTACACCCGTGCCTGACGGCAAAGCCCATAATACGCCCATCCAGAGAGATCTGTAATTTCCTCTGAAGAAAATATCTATTACCTCGCGGGAATCTTTACCCATCTCCCTTCTCCTTCTCTCTACATTTATCCTCGGCACGCACCTGCCCTTCATTTCATCGGTCGGCCAGTCGTTGTAACCCCATGGCATTTCCGTGGTGCCCAAAATTAGACCGAAAATGAAGCCGAAAAGTATCGAGACGAATATGCCGAGTAACAGACTTTTTAGGCCGATGAACTGGAGATTTCTGTCGGCTATGATGGTTCCAAACGTTAACGACATCACTGGGCCCTTGGTAATAAATTAGATTCTATAGAGAATCGCGTGAAAATCTGCAGTTCGGTAATTGTCGATTAAATCGAGAGATTAAGTCTCACCATCAACGGAGACACCAACATGGCAGCTACGACGTTGGTCGCGCTATTTTCGATCAATCCTAGAGCTGCCAGGCAACTGTGTATGATCGTGAAATTAGTTGGAATATTGTATAATCTTATATATAAAAAAAAAAAAGGATGCAATAATGTAAATTTATGTAGACAATACTTACTCCGCGGTTAATACCAGCAGCACGTAATCGAACGTGAGATCACCGCCGCTGCGGACGCCATCGACGACCTGTTTCACCGTCAGCTTCGAACGTATGGATTCCACGAACGCCTTCCAGGCGTTCTTTCTCTCCTCGGACTCCTTTTGTCTACGAATAAAAAAGAAAAAAGGAAAAAACAAGATTACGATTTCAGAGCGTTGGGCGGAGAGTATCCATTGCATTTAGTATGCATTAAGAAAATTCGTCTGACAACCTTCTCGCTAAATCATCCTTGATGGGTGTAGCACCGACGCCGCACATACCGCTATACGTGCACTGGGTTGGAATTACGCTGGAAATTGTCGGCAAGGTAAACGAAGACGTTTGGAAAAGCTCCCCGGGGAGGGGAAATATCGGGAGTGGCATTAATTCACCTTACGATGGAGTTCATTTTCACACCGATTCCCATTTCCGTGAGACAGTGGAGGCAATTCTCGCATGGCTCTCCAGCTGGTACAGGAAATATCACCTTTCCAGGGGGATGAAGCCAGACGGTAATAAGAAATGGAAAATAATTAGCGTTACTCGCCTTACCTCGTAATACATGTTTTCCTTGTCTCTACACCAGACAACGTGTTCCACTTTCAGCTTCCTTAGCAACTCCTCTAAGACCTGCGGGAGTAATGGCGACAGATGAAACAGATAGAGGAGTTCGCTTGCATCAAGCGAACTGTTTATTGCGATACGTTACAGTGTTCTCTTTTTTTCTCGTTATCTTGGTGCAATTGGGCTCGATTTACTTTTCAGATTGAAACTGGCTTTAAACTCGTTTTAAAATAATCATTTTGAAATTCACGCGCATTCTCGTAATTGTAAATTATTACACGGAGAGACACACTTGGAAATCCATATATTTCTATTTTATTGAAGTGATCGGGGTTTAGAAGCTGCAATACCGTTTCCATCGACACGAAAACGGGGTCTCTGTCGCGTTGACCGGAAATGCCGCGTCCTCGACCTCGTAGGTACCGTCTGTCAGGTACCAAGTCATCCTCGATGTCGAGATCATCCAAGTCGTGGTCGTCGTCGTTCAGCCTCAACAACTGAGTCCTCGATCGCGTTTGCCTGAGCCTCACGTCGACTTTTGGCCCAACCACTAACTTCCCTGGCTTTTCAGTCTTCTTCGTTCGCTTCAAAGGTACGCCAAAGATCAGCTCGTGCTCGTAGCTGAATGTAGGTATGCAAACTAAAAATACGACACCGCCAGGCATTGTGATTCACGCGACAAGGGACAATTTGCTCAGTCTAGACTCACGGTTCCGCGAGGTTCGCTTCTTTCTGAACGAAAAACGTTCAGTTCGTCGAGGCGTCGGTTCCGTTAACGAGCCGCTAATTGTTCTATTGCTTCGGTTTTAATTAGCAAGAGACTGGTGACGGATCAGACCGAAGGTTAGAGATCAGACTTGTCCTTGAACGAGGTTTTTTAAATTTTGCTTTGTGACTCTTTTCACCCTTATTATAAATAGAGAACAGAACACGAGGTTTATTTTTCCTCGGTCGTGGAACGAAAAGTTTTTATTCTTAAACGTTAAAATTATTCAGTTCCATATTTTAATTAAAGAATTAAAAACACTACGTGTAAACTAGATCGACATCCACTTGAATGAAAAGACAAGAGACACGGCAGAAAATTTTCGAAAGGAGGAAGGGAAATTTTCAAGTGTGAAGGTAATTTCAAGAACAAGCTCGTTGCTCCTTTTTTTTTTTTTTACGAAATAAACATTTATTTTTTAACAAATCAACAGCGTAAAGACTAGCGTCTAGAGACTAGTCGGACATTCTGTCTGACCTAGGTAACTAGAGGCCGCCAGGAATATATCGCGCGAAGGGAAAATTTCGAAACTCTGTCGCGATTTTTACGAAAATTGAACCGTCCCTAATCTCCTCCAGAAAAAAACCCCCCTCGCTTTTAAGCAAATATTATTCAAGCGAGATGTGCGTGAAAAAATGCCCTCCCTAAACAACGAGTCTGAAGGAAATCCTACTGCCTTAATTGACAAGAATTCCGCGGTATCACGTTAATCGCAGCCTTGGTCGAAGATATATTTGTCGCTTACTTTTTTTCTTTTTCTTTTTTTTTTTTTTTTTACTTTCAAATAGAAATATCTCTCATTCGATCTTGCAGCAAGGAACATTTCGTTATTAGTTCTCTACGTGAGCAAGCAAAGAGTGGAAATTAGAGTTGTCACGAGCGACGTTTTGCGAAACTAAATTCAATCGTCGAAAAACAGGTTAAATTTTCGTCGTTGAAATTCGTCCTTTATCTCTCGCACATGAATATATCGCCAACCCTGAAGTAAACATGCACGTGTGCACACGCGTTCGAAAAATTCGCAGAACATTATAAGAGCAACTTTTGAGATACAAGTTGAGACGCAGAATTAATAATCCGACACATCTACACTAGGATTACTATATTCTCTACGTAGCTGCTTCTCAAACGTGTTCTGCTCCAACGAGTGTGTCTAAACTTGCTCTTACACCCGGCTGCTAATTTAATTTCTAATATTTCAATTTAACATTTAACTGCAATTTAATTTCATTTAATTTCAAACACGCCTGCTCGCTAAAAGAATTAACTACCTACTAACATCCTATGTTAAAATAATTCACTCTGTATATATCTATATATATATATATATATATATATATATGTATGCATATTCAAACCATTCGACATTCTTAAGAAAATTCACACTCTTGACAATTTTCTTCGACAATCGTATTTTCGACCAATTCAACGCCGTTGTCGATAACACTAAACGATCGAAGGCTAATAAATCTCGGTGTGATCTCACTTTCAATTCCGCAAGCATCTAATTAACCGCGAGTGCCACTGTAGAATCATTAATTAATCGACGAACCCCTTCAATTCTCATAAAAACCGGAATTCTAGAGTTTCCCTTGGCAGCTCCCCGCTATATAGTTTCACACATCGTCTCGTCCCGTACGTTTTCTCTCTTTCACTCGTTCATTCGATAAATGGTTTGTAAATTAATTCAATTAGTCATCGCGACTAACTTGCTATGTTATCTCGCTAAAGAAAAGTTTCTTCTGTTTTCTTATTTTTTCTTATTTTTTTTTTTCTTTTTTTTCTCTCAAGGGATTATTCTCTCGATCTTTTTCGATCTTCCTCAGCATCTTCTGCTGATTTTTCACCTCGTTATGTAGATACGTTATGTTTTTACTCAACGCGTTAGGTATCTACGACACTTTCGCGGCTGCGTTTCTACATGAGACTCTTATTTAGTTATTTATTTTAATTGGTTTTTTTTCTTGTTTTCTGTTTCTTTTAAGGCCATACTTAAGGAGAGGAGCGTTTCGTGAACAACTTCCATTTTTGTGTGTGTGTGTGTTTTTGCATGTTTGTGTATGTTTGTATGTTCACCGCGAAAAGAGTTTCAACGATTTTATTGTGGTACAGCGAGACGCTCGATTTTTCATTCTCGAGCATTTTGCTTTGTTCTTGTTGTTGTTTCGATTTCAACAACAGGAGATCATTTCTCCTGAGCGATTCAACAGATCACATGTTTGAACTAGTTTATTGCAGTGGTTCTTGTGGGCTTTTACGAAGTATATGTTATAAAGGTAGGTAAAAAGTTTTCCCAAAAATTTACGCGTCAGTATAATATTTATATATTGAATCTCAACGTTTGGATTGTAAATTTTGGTAGTATTTCACGACGTGATTTTCCCATTTTATAAGATTGAAAATCCACAAGAATCCCTACAAAAATCTAAGAACAGCAGTGTGAAAGCAAGATTATACTCAATCTAAAGGGGGACATTGCTGTCCTCGAGAATATGGAGGTCTCAGTCGGAGAAAATTGAAAAATCGAGCAAAGTGTGCGTTATAAAGTTTTTCACTTGAGCAACACATACAAATTTTACTTTTGACTAATAATAAGCTAAAGTATTTGTTTCTCGTTCTGCGAGATATATTTTATTAAAGGAGAAATGAATAGACAACCACGAAATGGATATAGCAGTGCGGTGTCGATCAATTTTCAACGAAAGTAACGACATAAACACCAAATAAACCAATCAAATAAATTATTTATTCTTCCTCCGTGAGATCTCTATATTTTCGGAGAACGGCAAGAATAATCGTCGTGCTGTCCATTTTCATTTTGCATCGGTGTATACGCCACGTCACGTGGCTCATCTAAATCTAGACTCGCGTCTATGAACTCGGAAGCGAATCACGCGATGATCTCGAGCGTTGCGCATCGAGTAATACCGAACTTGTGTTACAGGTGTATGTATATATATATACATACTTCATTTTCGAAAGACTATGTTAGCGTCGGTAAAACCAAAAACCAAACAACGAAAAAGTCACCACGTGTTCACGTGTCTTTTAAACGGCTTTAAACACCTTTCTTCATGAAACCTTTCGTCACCCCTTTCTTTTTACATCATCAATCTCATTCTCTCCTTTACTTTCTCTTCTCTGTTTCTGTTTTTCTTCTTTTTCTCCTTCTTTTTTTCTAACAATATACCGGAAGGTTCAAAGTTGCTGCTAGGATACTTCTAGGAATCTTAAGGCCACGATACCAAGTTAATGAGCGATCGTTGAAACGAGTCGTTATCGCTACGAAAGGAAACAACGCTATTATGGCGTCTAGAAGAAAGAATGGTGCGCGCTCCCTGATCCTTCTCCTCGGTCTTTCTTGATCTTGCACGCGGAACGCAACGCGCGTTCGACGAAGAACCGTCCATGCTAACATTTTCCTTCAATGGACGAATCGCGGTTTTTTCTCAGGAAGCATTTGAAAAATCAGCTACCAAAAGACGTTCCTCCAAGTCTATGTTCGTTAGTTTTCTTCTTTTTTTTTTTTTTTTTATCCATCAGTCGTGCTACGGAGGAAACGAGGTGTATCGGTTTAAAAAAATAGCTTTCTCTCTTACTTTCGCTCTTTCTCTCTCTCTCTCTCTCTCTCTCTCTCTCTCTCATTCTTTCTTTCACTTGCATCACTCTCATGGTCGAATATTCAAAAAGGATTCACACGATCACCGAGTATCAAAAGAGTAACGCAACCTCGACTGGATCATTCTCGTTGAAAAAAATGGCAACATCGTTACGTCGAAGATCGCACATGCTGCTAACACGTCGATTGTTATTCTATTCAATTCGCGTCAACGATTCTTTCGATCGAACCGAGTTACACGTTTTGTCTCCTCTGAGATCGAGGAACTCTACCTAAGTGTAGCACGGCGTACGCGATGTCCCAAAAATTCACTCCATACTCTGACCGACTTGCGTAAGATCGCAAGACGCGCAACATCAAAAGGAGTATCATCGAAATTATCCACATGTTTCTCTTAAAGTGTAAAAAAAAGAAAAAAGACGAAGACGAAGACAATTGTTAAATTTGTAACGAACAATCGACGAAGGTTTTACTTTTTTACTTTTCTAACATGCCGTTTCAAATTTTTAGGACACCCTGTACGACGAACTGCAACCGTGAAGCACTCGTTCCTGCGTGCTGCGAAATGAAAGCATCGATCGTCAAATACGAGGGATACTTTCCGTCATCGTGGTCCTGCGAAAGAGAAACGAGAGCTTTGAAAGCAGCTCTTCGGCCGCCCCCTCCCACTGCGGGAGGTTTTTTTTTTTTTTTCTATTTGAAGTGTCCATCGTCGAAGGAAGCGGAGGGTCGGCGATCGTCCAAGGGGGTGGTACGAAAACTCCTCGTCTTCTTGTCGTTTTCGGTGGAAGGGTTGATCCGTGTCTCCGTAGAGGGTGGCCAAACGTGTCAGAGACGCGTCCCCTGTGCTCAGACTGGAGCGCTCGGTCGTCGTAGGAGAGACGAGAACAACGAACGTCGAGGTGGCCGCCGCCACGGCCGACGAAGACGGCGTTCGTCGACCGCGTGCGATGGCGTCTGCTCCTCGACGATCCCCAAAGGTCAAGCTTTCTCTTCCTCCTCGTCGATCTCCTCCGAATCCTCGGAGGAGGAGGTGATGAGGGCGGTCGAAAGGCTTGGAACCTGGGCCGAATAGGGGAACGAGCTCATCCGCAGTCGCTGGGGGTTCCAACACTCTGGCAGGGAGTGCGAGCCGTCCTCCGTCCCGCATTTCTCCGCTTGCGACTTCTCCATCGAGCAGAGTTCCATCATCGATACTCGTCTGGCCGGTCCCTTCTTGCTCTCTGCAACAGCGAAACTGTCCTCAGGGTTTCGCAGGTTTCTTGCAAATTGTTAGTCGCCGAGGCGTTCGCCGGCGTTTCGATCGATTGCAATTACGATAGTCGGGACCGAAAACTGACGCTCAAGAGGGACGGTGTATTAAGGAAAGAATTTCAAAAATTCACGATCACTTGTGAGGGCACTATTGTACAGTTGCAACGTTCGCGAAAGCACAAAGTTTTCCCGTGTTCTGCTCTATTATATAATTCCGATTGACGATCTCTTCTCGATGAAATAGATTTTAATTTAATTTAGTTTGGAAGGTAAACAGGACGTGCTATACATACACCGCGAGGTAAATCTCGGTAATTTCCAACTTGCTTAAGCGGTTTTCGAGTATAGAACTGTCGGACGGGAGATGAATCGTGAATTCCACGCGACGTTTATATCCCACGATAAAGTTGCATATTTAGTGGCAATGAAATCACGACTGATAGCGCTGCGTTTCATGGCCCATCAAGAGATATGTAACTGTTTCGCTCCTAATAATACTTCGCCCCTTGATATTTCCATAGCGTCGAATATGATTAGTACTTGAATTTACGACTGCTTCGCGATTTATATACCACGCTCTGTCTTCATCTTTATTAGACTGTCTATCGACCACGTGTTTCGAAGCCCTTTTCTTTTTCCATTACCTTTCTCGTACTCGCTGAAGGTTTTCGTCGGCGAATCCTCCTCCGTCGGTTCTGTCCCTGTCAACGTGTACTCGTCACGCTCGTCCACAGTCTCCTGGCAATCGATACCATCCGGCGTGCACACACTCTCACCGCGAAACAGACCAATTACTGACTGGACCTTTGGCTGCTCGATTCCACCTTTAATTAGAAGCAAGTGTCACTAATGAGGTTAATGAAGATTCACCGAGTGTTTCGGTTTCGGCCACCGTGTAATATCCCTCTCCGTGGCATATCTCCACGTTAACGGAAAGTCCGGCAAATCGATCGTTTCATTTCGATCGTACTTGCTTCGATAAAGAAAATCATACGTTGCAGAAACACGACACGTCCGTTTCCCTCGATTTTCCCAGCTACGTTTGTTTAGTTGGTTTACTCCAAAGAGGGAAATCGAGAATAGAAACTGGAAGAAATTTATTAAAAGAAAAAAAAAGAAAAAGAAAAGACGGTGTTTTTGAACTGTTTGCAAGGGACGACGAATGTTTATTTATTTTTTGTTTAATTTTGGAACTTGATAACGAAACGAAAAATGTAACTCGTCGCTTTCTTTTCTTTCTTCTGCATTTTTTCTTTTCTTTTTCTTTTTGCTGCAGTCGTCTGTTTCTCTTTTATCATTCACTGAACGAAGACACGAACTTAATTTAAAAGTCATTACGTCGTATCTGTTATATGGGAACGAGGGAAATTGCATTTGTTTGAATAAAGTTTGAATATACGGTCGTGGTTATTAGCCCATTTTTCATCGAATGCGCGCTAAGTGAATAAAAATCTATGGACCTTTGGATTTAATAAATTACAGCCGTTATTAACCATTTTGTTCTCGTTGCTGGAAGGGAACTTGATAATCGAATATCAACACCGTCCGGCAAAATAAAAATTAATTACTGGCCAGGACGTTCGAAAATGGTATGCCTTCGACTGGAAAAAAAAAAAAGAAAAAAACAAAAAACAGTTATCGTAAATCTCGAGGCGCCACGCACTACCGATCGCCAGGTTAAAATTTAAACGCCAGAGTCTGGTACAAAACACGTACTTTAATTCCAAAATTAAATCAACAAAAAAGCGTTAAATTATTGTACGAAGAACATGCACTTATGAATGGCGGTGGTGTGTGCACCTCGAAGAGCAACGCGCAGAAAAAAACTCCATCGATTCTCGAAATTCGGAGATCAGTGAAATCTCAGCGACGAACGTCGATGTTCTATTCCAGGTGGCTAGAGTAACCGAAACACCCCGCTAGGAAAGTGTGAAACACAAGTGCTCGTGGAAGAAAAATTGTGTCTTTCAATCGCAGTCGATCTTTGAGTCTGACTGTGAGTGAGAATGATGCACGAAAGATCCGACACGATCGATCATGTGTGATGCACAATGTGTACTTGTAGTGGCGAGGTGCTTTGTGTGTGTGTGTGTGTGTGTATGTATGTAGTTGTATTATTGAAGAGCTTCAGAGGGGATTGGGTAACCCAAAAATCGAAGGAGGAAACTTTTGCATTCACTTTTGTAGATCGAGAAAAAAAGAGGAGGAAACGACATAGAAATTCGGGAACGAGACAGCTGAGATTGAGGATAACATTTACATGTTCGTCGGCCGGAAGTCCGAGGCTAGTATCCTCCGAGCCCGATAGGCTGGCCTGTCCTCACAAATACGGCTCTCCTGTAAAGCAGCGTGTTTTTTTTCTTTTTTTTTCTTTCGTTCAAAATTTTACGTACCTCTTTCGCCAAAATCGACAATCACAAATCAGACAGTTGTGTCTTTTCTTTTGGCCAAACAAGTGTCAATGTGTGAGATATGAATCTTAAAAATTAACAGCTAGATGAATTTTCAAATACGATCGAAAGATTTGACGATCTATATATGTATACAGGATTTTACTACATGGTTGTTAGTTGACTTTTTACTGGGTGAACAGTTTAACGACACGCAGTTTCGTATAAGTATGCGTTTGGTTGATGTTGATTAAAAAATCGAATCGACCTTGTATCGAAAAATAGACCTGCTACGTGGCAGAGTATACCTGAAACAACGCGTAAAAGTTTAGAAAATATGCCATGAATCGATACCTTCGATGAAAATGGTTGTTTGTTTTATTTTTCTATGCACCCGTGCGAGAGGGGTTACCCGAGCCCCGTAGAAAAGTTGCTGTTATGTCAGAGGATTTTAGAGTAGAGTGTCGTAGAGTACAACCTGAGATTCAGCATATTATTTTTAAAAGGCGTCGACAAAGATGATTCTTTTTGGACACTTGAGAATTTTCTAAATGGTAATCGATACACTTAATAATTAATTCTCGATGAGGATTTTTTTCCCAATATCTAACAATATCAACTTTGATTTAATTTTTTGAGCATTTATCTTTTGCTCAATTCACTCTACGAATCATCCTTCTCAAACACTTTAGAGACTTGCATGGTGAAAGATGGGTACAAAGGTGTATGATGGATTAAAATCACTTATCAAGACTCGATGAGATCAATGCGTTAAACCGAATCGCGAATTTATCTATCTAATCCTTCGAGGTGAAACGATACATATACTCGCAGCATCGAACGGATTATTTAATCAATCGTACCTAAGAATGTGGCTGAGGGGGAACTGTAAGCCAGGTACTCCTTGTTTGAACACCAAGCAGGAAATTCATTCTGTTTAATCGGGTGCCCGGAATCGTAATCGTCCTCTCGCTTCCATGGCAACATAGTTTCCGTGGCCGTCGGTGTCGTTACCCTGTAGCTCTCTGCAATTCGAGAAACAGAATACGCTCTGGCGTCGCGAACTCAGAGTTCGTGAAAATAAGCTTTCGATCGACGGTAATTTTCAAACCGGTATATTAAAATATCGTACAACTCGTGAAAAGATGAAATTCCACGGCACGTCCGATTATCAATGTTACCCAGTTTCTTCGGCTATGAAATTCAAAGAGACTTTACGACGCAGCAAATTTCTGAACGCAGTTCACTTTGTTATCGAAACGTCGGACCATTGTCGCGAGGCGGTTGAATCAAGTAAAATTGCTCGATCGCGCAATTCCGAAGTGTGAAGTTTCCACTCGAAGGCGAACGATCTTCGCCGATACATTCCTACCGACGAAGGAAGAAGACGGAAGAACTCACCGTCGCGTCCCAATTTCATATCCGGATCGTCGGTATTTATGGTGTCCATCGAGGTGGTTGTAGTGGCGCCGTGATGGTTGTCCGCGTTCACGTTCAGCGAGTCTATGAAAATCGAGCAACGAGAGAGTTACAACTACGAATCGAGCCGGGAATTAACTCTGCCCCCCCCCCCCCTTCACACCCCGTCCCCGGGTTTTATATTCAAGAGGCACGCCTCGGCAAGAAGTCTCGTCGAATTATCCCTCGTGAAACTAATTTCTCAAAAGAATCGCCGCGACGACGAGAGGATAATTCCGCGGAGGAACTTGCGCGTCGTTTTCTAACGACCAGACATAGCCAAAAGTTTCGCTGACAAGAAAAAGAAAAAAAAAAAAGAGAGAGAGAGAGAGGAATAAAGAGAAGAACGGACGATATTACCGGAAGTACGAGCTGTGAAGGTAATGGCAGAGTCCCAGTCCCCTTTGCACGAAGGCTTTGAAGCGTCTCCGTTCTCCAACTCGTACAGCACTCCGTTGATGTAATCTGTGATCAATGAAAAATTCGCGTATTTCGAACGAGAAGAAGAAAAGAAAGAATATCTCCTCTCGCGAGTTTTACCTTGCGTGAACAACTTGGTCGAGCCGTTCTGCTGAAACTCCGGGAAACTCACGTGACTCTGCTTACCGTCCTGCGGTTCGATCGAGAGGAAAGAAAAAAAACAAACGACATTTTAGTGATGGCAGATCGACCGAGAAATAAGCTGATAATCGGAACACGAGCTGGAATTTCGCGCGTCGAAACGCGAGAACGTTCTTACTTTGAGCAACTTTTTACTGCGCTTGTGACGATGCTTGTGCTCTCCCATCATCCGCCGTATGTTCATGTGCATTTTGTAATTGACTTGGGTGGAGAGATCGCGATCGTTCACCGCGTGTCGGCTGTAGCTTAGACGCCGATGCTGCAACAGTTTCGTTCCGTGCTGTAGAGAAACGTTTTTTGCATTGGTTCTTTTCGCATGTGCAGGGTCCTTCTCACAGATAACACGTCCACGAAAGTACGTACATATATACATACATGCGACACAGTAAGTTTTTCGAGTAATCGTCGTTGCGAACGGGGCAAGAAAGAAGCACACGTAGAGATTCACGTTTCAGTGTCAAGGCGACTCGAAGATCAAGGATCTCCGAAACCTGGTTTCGTTTTACCCGATCTTTCGATCGCCCTGCGTCGAAGCAACTCAAGAGAGATCTTACGTATCGCGCGGTAGTTAAATAACGTTCCTAAATAAATAAGCGTTGTCAGGGAAATTTCAGCTGCCACTATTGACTTTCGTTTACGCGTTCTACGCATTGCGTATGCTGGTTTAGAGTTTCACAATGTAATTAAACGCGATAAATGTTATTCGAACTGTAACAATTATCCAGACACAGCTAAATCTCGATTACGCGCAATTTACATTCTTCATTCGTCACTTTGTTCACGAAGAATTTTCTCGAGATTTTTATCATTTTTTGCACGTAATGCGTATAACATTCGAAGGATGAAATCGACAGCTAAAATTTCAAGCGGCGCAGTTCTTTCAAAAGAAAAAGAGAGAGAGAGAGAAAGAAAGGAAAGAAAAAGAAAAATCCTCGTCAGCAAGGTTTTCAGGGGCGTGCATACACGACACACATGTATACACGTGAAAATCTGAAACGCTCAGCGAAAGAGGAGATTTCTTACCCTCTTGTACGGCTTGCAAAGTTCCTCGGCCAATAGGTGGTGGATCCTGGCGTCCGTCAAGTCCTTCTTGGAAGGGTTGTACTCCAGTTCTTGGAGATCAATATTCCAGCCCGCTTCGAGCTGGCTGCAACTCGGACTGGAAGGAGAAAGAAAGAATGAGACTGCATTTTTATGACGGGCTGCCACTTCAAGATCGATACTGTGTTTCGTTCGAGGGCTTGCCCGTTCAATCGAGATACAATGCAGAGTTATCTTCGGTTATGCTCCTCCTCGTGTGTATACCGGGTGAGTCATACGGGGGAGGGAGCATCGATGACACCCTTCATGGGTGTCTTGCAACGCTTGCTGTGTATTACCAAGGTATTCCATTGTACACCGGATGGAAGTTATTTCGTATCGTGTCCTTCCGATCTTACCGGCAACGGTAACGTTTACAGTAATTGAAATTTCATCCGTCCCGTTTCTTACATAGCTACTTACGAGCAAAGTGTCGAAGCGCCTTGTATCGAAGTAGTTAAGACAAGGAGAATTTAATATATTCAATGCAAACAGTCGATGGAAACGAAACGGTTGAAAACAAGTAGCAAAACAAATAAAAATACCGAGTAAAAAGAAAAATTCTCGCGACTCGCTGCACGCGAATATATTAATTCGTTGAGAAATGTTACAAGGTTTTTGACAAACGATTCGCAGTCGGTATTAAATTTCAACTTTTCACGACGTCAAACTAAAGGAAACAAAGCGTTCGACTTCACTTTGAGGATCGAGCTCAAAGAACTCTGGTTCAAGAGTTCTTCTTCTTGTTATTTTCTTTTTTCTCTTTTTTTTTTTTTTTCTTTTTTTTTAACGAGGAAAACTTTCTTCGATAATTAATACATTTCCAACAAGGTGACGGAGGGAATGGCCGTGCACCTGTTACGATCAAAGAAGCATTCTTCGTGCTCTGTATTGTGAAAATAAATAGGTCGAGTATGAACGAAGATAATTCAGCTCGTTACGAATTGGGAAGGATGGGACGAAGAAAGGAGAGTCGCGGAAAGGAAAGGGGGGGAAAAAGGAAAAAGTCACCGAATGAAAAGAATCGAGCCTTACCTGCCATTGAATTGTCCCGTGTTGCTATAGTTGCGGAATATCGCGGACATGCTTTCAGTTCCGCTGATATTGCCAATGGTGGACGCGTTCCTTCTAATGTAATCCAGTGCGTCTTTCATCGCGAGTTTCGAGTACGTTTCCAATATTTTTGGCTCTGCGCCGTAGTGATCTCTCACCAGGTAGGGACGAATGAATTTATTGTCGAACCGTTTGAATCTGTGAAATAAACAAGGGAAAAGAAAAGAAAGATATTGGAGAATTTTAACAAATTTTTCTGTCTTTTCTTCCAGATGATAACAAAAGTTCCTCTACTGGTCACGAGACCGTGATAAATAATTTATGACGAAATATACTAGCGATCAGGATCATCTGCATCCCGCGTCACCATCTTGAACGACTCGTGAGTCATCTTACTAGGGGAGAGAAACGTCGATAAACCTGGCTCGTGTTTCCTATCGTATCAGGAAAAATCGTGAAAGCAGAAACGTTGAGGAGGCTCTTCTCACTTTTCTAGATTATATAAACGTTAAACGTTAGTTTCTCGTTACAATAAATATTTTCCACGAGATGTTTTCAGATATGCTTCTTCTCCGAGCAATCTATCTCGAGCTTCTCGCTTCGAATTAACCTTTACCGTTAGAAACGTTCGTTTTAAGGCTACTCTTTACCTGTGAAAACTTACTTTACAAACTGTTCATTACACGATTTTAACATAGTGAGAAATTACGCGTACTTGTCTCGAACATGGTAATTGCCGTGCTTGCCCAAAATGTCCTCGATTCCAGCCATCACGTGGTCCATTATCTGCAAAGAAACAAAGACGCCATTTTTCTCCACTCTCACAATCAGTCGACTTATCGCACGTTTATTATTTCCCTCGTCAACGGACATAAATGTACGTGCATATGTACACGACAAACGTGAAAACGAAGCGCCCGGAATCACGATTTTTATCTACCATTGTTCATCCCTCGGACACGTTCATTTACGAAAGTGACTATCGGCGAAAAATCAGTGCGATCTTCCCGCGCGCGCCGAGCGATTATTGATTTTTTTGTGTATCGTTGGCTCGCTGCTTTTTTTTCAATATTTACACGAACGATAACGGCGTACATATGTATGTATACAGCTATACGCGCTCTCTATAATTTATACAACGCGCGTTAGTTCCCTCCGCCCTTTGTTCGCCACCTCTTTTATTTTTTCTTTTTTTTTTTTTCACCAACGCCTGTTTTTCTTTGTTTTCTTTTTTTTTTTTTTTTTTTTTTTGTTGATTCACTAATGAGAAAAGCGACCAAATTTATAAATAAGTTACTTAAATATTAATAAAAAAATTGTGATGAAATACGCACTAATACACAAACAGAGCTGAGGTACAGAATGCTGCACAACAGAAGTACAGTGCATTTGACAGAAGCCATGACTTCTTCTAAAATTTGCTTCTCAAATCTGCTGATTCGTTCCACGAAGAATGTTCTTTACTAATGAAGTGGATTTTACATGGATTACATCTTTTATATTGATCACATCATGAATGAGAAGCATGATTTAATGCGTTATTTAAATGTGGATGATTTTTCTGATATCTGTTTTCGTAATCGAACATATACAAGGTGACGACCTTAGTTCTATAATGCGGATAAGAATTCAAATATAATTACACTACGATGAAAATCTTAAAATAGATAAATATATAGGAATATTATACATTTATTCTCACTAACATGTTTCTTTCTTGTTAAAAAGGTATATATTTTACATATTAAATTCGAATGAGATAAAATGAAAATACTGATAATGATTATTAATAACATATTAATAATTACTTCTATTTTCATTTATTAATAAATTATATTACATTCGACACAAAAAAATATATTTCATCTTACGTCTATACTTTTGCAGATTTCTTTAAATAAAATATGTGACGCAAACGTTCTTGCAATTTTTCATATGGATGCCGATATTCAACATCAGTTTTAGGTATTCTGAATAATCTACGAACTTTTGGCGATAGAAGTAGTAGACTTTGTGATATGGAACATAAATTATTGGTAACCCAGAATAAGGATAAACACTGAAATGTTTAATTTGCAAGCATTAATACAATGAACAATAGCAAAGAGCATAATTATTTGTTTCCTCAAAATGTAGATGCAACATACCGATGGTAAACATGACATAAGAGGCACGAAACAAAGAGTGAGTATTCTACAGAAATTTTTATATATTCTACTGAATCTTGAATCCGTTACACGAAATAACATATGATTTATCTGCAAAATATATTACATTAATGCAAGAATATTTATATATAAATACAAGAAAAGAAATACATTCATACATACTTCCATTACAACTAAGTTACTCAATCCAAAAAGTATGGGAAATATAAAGAAATGGTCTATGTCTGTGAGATTTTGTATCCATCCAAAACCACCAGTAGTCAATTCTTGGAAGTCCTTAACGGTAGCTAGCATTAAAATTTTTAAGACTTAACTTGATGCTATTTTAGTGTTTAAAATATTACGTACAGAATATATTATTCACCAGGATCTATTTGAGGCAACATATAACACATGTTCCTTATTGCAACTGACAAACTTATCCATATTGGTGCTTGCAATAATACTATTGCAACAGTCTTAAATGGATGACAATTCTCTCTTATATATAATTTTTTTTGTTCTTTAGAAAACTATTATAAAAAAAATAATATATCAGTATTTAATTAATTAATTCAACATTTAATTAATTCATATTTAAATACCTCACGTGCATAAAGAGAAATTGTCCGTGCTGGGCTTAATTGAGATAATACTGCTTCTCTTTCTACTTTTTTTTTTGTTCTTTCAGCAATATCCATCATTTCACTTTTTAAGTTTTGCTGTTTGGCCCTGTTGTGAAGCTAAAATAAAGATTAATTGAGAAATTAATTTAATAAAGCAGTATTAATACTTACATCAAGTATACTTAATGGTAAATTTATAAATGTTCTTGAAAGAATTGTTGTGAGTATAATGCCGGCCCACCATGGTAAGCCTGTTTGATAATGCATAAATCTAAAAGCTTCAGTCACCCATTCTACAGTTATACTTTCAGATATTATTTGGAAAATGCCATTATTGTATCTTAATGTATCATTTACAATTGTAACTCCTGAATTCGAATACTGTCTAACATGATTTGCAGGAATAGGATAATTATTAGAAATTTTTGTAAGTACACTCTTGTTACATAGTAATGGTGTTTTAAGTATTTTTGGATATAATTGTTGGTGTAAAATAGTATTTGACAGGTTTCGCTTATTTGAAAAATATCCCACTAATATTTTATGGTTAGAAAAATAATTTTGATATACATTCAAAGGACCATTGGAAACGTAATGAATGGAACAAGAATGTTTCATAAAACTGTTGCCATAACATTTAAGATGCAATTGAATTTTTTTAAACATTCGTACATTCATGATAGAACAACAACAAGGAACTTAACACTTTTTAAACACACAAGTATAATACTTTATTTCCTTCCGTGTTATCTATATAAATATAACGAAGAGGTTAAGCTACATAACCTCAAACATTTCCTTCATTTGAACATAACAATATATACTTCAGTTAATCATGATTGATTACATTACATTAAAATAAGTTAACATTACTATAAAATTATTATGGTCAACAAATTTACAAAAAAAATAATAGATGTTACATTATAAAATAAAATATCCTACAAAGACAGAAATTACTATTAACGCCCTCTATAGAAAATAGTGATAGCAACATTGACTAATGATATTGATTAACGGTAACGATATAAGTTGTATATGTTTCAAAAAAATACAAATACAAAATAATTCAAATACTCTTATAAAACCATAATCCTTATAATTATTATAATCCCAGTATTATAAAGTTAATTGTTAATACAATTTAAATTTATTTTATATTTATCATCTATTGATACAAAATTATCATCTGTGGTAATATAGTGATCTAGTTTAGCAAGTAACGGTAATAACTTTTTAGCAATGAAATATATCAAATTATTTCAAATAACATATATATTTAATAACATAATTAAGCAAAATATAAAAATTTGATACGATTATCGTAATAATAATAATTGTGTATTACTATTGATTTATCATTATCTAAATAACAACAGTTTTGCATAAAATAAAAATTAGACAAACATTAGACAATGTGTTCATTCAAAAAAATGCATACTCTTTCAAAATTAAATAATATCTTTAATTATCTTCATCAACAAATGTTTCCATATTATTCGTATATGTACATATATTACATCATAATTAATGATAAAATAACTTTCAAAACTTAGCTGTATTAAGATATGAAGAAATTCTTTATTCTCTTTATTAGCAATTACAAGCATAATTATCAATGTTAGATAACTTTGATTGTCTCTCAAACACATATCATACACGTATGTAATTCATAAATTTTTACCTCATGAAGGATTCAAGATTCCATTCTACTGATACGTTCCAACAGAAAAGAGAATAGTTAGAAGATAGGAAAAAAAAAATAACAAAAAAAGGGCGAGGAGACATCTACATACACATTCACATTCTCGGCTGAACTTCGTCGAATCGAAGCGCAATGTTCATTTCATGGTTCGGGGGGTTGGAGGGAGGAGATCGCGCGTCGAGTATCTTTGCATTAACATTTACCATCCCTTCTTTCTCTGGAAACCGCAGTCCTGGCATCATCGTGTCGATTTTCAGCCATCCCTCAGCGCCAGAAACCGGAAGAAACGTCGGCATAGCATTTCATCGACAAATAGCATCGCAGCCCTAACAGCCACCTACGACGTCGGCCTAATCTCGAGGCAGCGGTTGGTCGTTGAGAACCTGGCTCTTTTCCGTCGTCGAATGGGCGTGCTGGAAACGCCCATCCACCCTTGCTACATAGATTTGCACCCCTGCGCTGTCTCAGGGGTGGAGTCGACCAATGACACGGTGGTAACGTTCGTCTGACAACGTGGCCTTTGGAGCCGCCCCCGCATTTCCCGTGGCTAACTAGCACTACCCCACTATAGTCGCGTTCAGCCACTCGGCCAGCAAGTCCCCGGGCCGTCTAGTCGCCCGTTGGAATTCCCCACCTATCCCCCTGTCACCTTCCTCTGACCCCTCTTCATCTATGCTACTACCGCCCTATTTCAGGCCAACGTACCAGCCACATTGAAGAAGTGGTGTACATCGTGCAATAGCCTGACTAAAGCCGCATCTAGCGATGGCTACGAACCTCGTCCCACACTTGTCAAGCGATCCTCGAACAATTCAACTTCTTGTCAAATAGGACGACGTGTAATTCGACTCGAGTTAATACAGAAGATGACAAAGAGATTTGCTTCCTTTGAATTTCTATCGAGGTGATTTTTCGAACAGCTGAATGAGAAACGGTCAGTCAGTTTTCAGTGAATAATAATAAGATAAGGGAAGAAGGTACACAATATACGAAAGTAAGAGAAGTAGGTATAAAGCAAATTAATACTTTCTCGACTTTAATACTTTCAGTCCCTTTACCGACTTTACAGTCACCCCTTCGAACAAAACACGAGACGATCGAGTCTTTCGCTATCCCCATGTCGACGTCATAGCTACGCCGACTCGCGGCCGTTTAGGAACTTCTGTACGTGTGTTAGGCATCGCTCACACCCTGATCAACCACCCTCTCCTAGAAGCACGTCGAGCGTGTTGAAGAACGACCCGTGATTCCAGCTAGTATGGCTACGGTCAGGGGAGATAGGTAACTCCGACAGCCAATCGGGCAGCAGCCCCTATATACGTGCGTAACACGAACGTACAGACGCATCGTGCACACACATTGGCACGAGCAGCCCGTATACACGAGCGGGAATCGCGGTACCCGCCCTTCCCGACGAGATGAGTAGCTACATCGAGGTTCGAAGCCACCTCGTCACGGAGAACGCTTCGAGACTTCGCGCGACTCCCTCGGCGTCGTGTCGGAACGACCACCGGTCCAGTCGTCCGTCTGGGGATGCTCGACTTTGATCAGTCGCGAAAGATGGGCACAGGTCAGTTCGATAAAGCGTGCCTCTCTTGCTTTTTCTCGTCAGTGATACGTAGGAGTGGTTCGCCAACCCCCGATACGGGCACGCGGTACTCGGAAGACAGTGACACGCGTGTCTCTATTTTTTATTATTTACTCATTTATTTACTCTTTTGTTTTTTTGTTTTTTTGTTTTTTTTTTTTGTATTTGCTTACACACTGGCAACGAGATTTCTGTTTCCCCTTTTTATATTTTTATGAAAAAAAAAAAAATTGTTTTTTCTCGTCGAGCGAATTTGAAGCTTCGCATGACTTGGTGACTTGACAATTTAATTTGAACGTCGGCCTGTCGACGTTTGACCGTTCTGGGTGCGCGTTAAAACAGTTTGTTTTCATTGGTTCGGTTTATTTTTTAGTTTTGGAGAATTCTTTTCTTTCTTTTTTTTTTTTTTTTTCTTTTTGGTTTCTAATTCTGGATGATTGGAAAAGTTTATACGTGCGTTGTTTAACTAACGGCTTTGAAATGAATTCGATCCTGGTGGCTGATTTGTGGGACCGATAGTTTGGAATTTGTAATTGAACTGGTGATTAGGAAGTTTATTCTGGATAGAGGAGCGGTTATCTTCGGTTTGTATTGAACGAAACTACTACGTAAAACTTGGTATTTTTGAATTGGCGTTACTTTCTGCGAGAGTCTTCGCGCTAGTTAATTATAGAATTGAAACAACGAGACGATAGTTTTCGAAAGCGAGATTACGTAGATCATTGCGTATATCATTCGTAAATAAATTAATTTACATTTTAATAAAAGAACTGCGTATTTCGAAATCTGTCAATTTTACAACGTTGCCCTATTCAATCCACCTTCTCTTTTATTCCGTGTCTCAACATACAATACAATTTGCGACAAATATAATGTTACTATTTTCGACCTTACTCATCAAATATTAATCAAAATAGAAAGTTCTAAATCCTTCGACGTTCAAACACAAAAGGGTTGAATACAATCGTCCCTACAATCCGCTCTCGTGGATCAGATATCTACTTAATCTATCGCTATTGCTATCCAAGTTATTTGTAGTTAACGGACGCGTAGGACACGTAAGACTACGGTGTCCGTAACGTCGAAGGAGGTAATCTGTTGGGGTTGAAGCAGACTGATCGGGTTAGGTTGGTAGGTTTTTGGTGTGAGAAGAAGGTGGTTGGTTCCCCAGGCCAGAAACGGAAGCTTTGGTTGGCTTAGGCATGGCCGTGTTTTTCTTGCCGCGGATCATTAGGACGATTAGGGTTCCTCCGAAAAGGGGGAGAACAGATTAACGCTCGAGCTCTTCTTGCGGTCCGCTTTGCTTTCTTAAACGGAGTCCTCTTTTCCGCCAGCTTTTCACTTCGTTTTTAAGTTCCTCTCCTGTGAGCGAGTAGCACGACGATAGATACCTCTCGCCGTTGGATTAATAGCGTGGTCAACCATTTATTCGAGAGATAAAATGAGAAAATCTCGTTCAATGCTTTGAAGGTGTTCCACGTAGACATTTAGAGATAACAGTTCAATTTCTTTTATTTTATCTGCGTTCGTTTGATCGTTTGATTGGCGTCAAATTTGAAAAAAAAAACTGGGAAATATTTATTGGGTTTTATTACATCTTCGTTATAATTACAATTTTATAATCATAAAGCTGTTAAGAGTTTGTAGAAATTTGCGAAATGTGCACAGGGAAACGTGGTAGAGTAAAAATTAAGTAGAAAGTATCTGTATGCAGTCAGACACGTATGAAGCTACTTTGTTTCAGCAAACGTAATCAATGAATTTGTTTTGCCATTTTAATTTCTCATAATTATAGAGAGAAATGTCAAGTGATTGAACTATGGAAAATGTAATTTTTTTTATATTCTTCGCTATGAAAATTTTCATGCTTGTGATTATTGACGAAAAAAAAAAAAATATATTCATACGATACTCATGAATAGAATGTAACACAACATTTTTCAAATACATTCTTAATGTTCGTAATAATTGTACTTTGGTTGTAATTCTGTATAATTAAAAACATTATGAAAGTTTAACTATACACTGTATTCAATTGGATTTGCAGCACTAACGTAACGTAGTACGTATCGATACATTTTGTACAAATATTTCTTAGAGAAACTTAAAGAATAATTAATAAATAGTGAATATTCTTAGGAATAAAGAACAATTCAGCCTTTAAGGAAAAAATTTCAAAAGAGAATGTTAAAGAATTTTAAGAAAAAAAAAACAAGGTTATATCTGACATATATATTTTACTTTGAGAAACAAAAGCGCAAAGCGAAACGAAACGAAACTATCATTAACAATTGTTAGATTTTCCGTTTTTCCATTAAGTCAATTTCTGTTGTAGGGGACAGATTACTTGATATACCGTGTCTGGTATGCGGTGACCGTAGCTCCGGAAAACACTACGGCATCTACAGTTGCGACGGTAATTATCAAGCTCTTCTGTACTTAAATTTTTCATTAAAAAAACAAAAAAAAAAAAAAAATACCTATATCTAGCAAACTCTTCGTTTATCTTCCATAAGAAACAACAGATTCGTTGATTACAATTCGCTTTTATTCGACAATTCATTCACTTGACAGCTAATCGAAACAACACGATATTCAAGTCTCACGATCATTTCCCGACCAATTCGACACTATAGATTAGATTCGTTCGAAACGCTTGATAAAAATAGATCAATTAAATAAAATATGAAGGTTAAAATTGAGCAGTGATCGTAACTTGTCCGTCGGTATACAGGATGGTTCAATAACTCTGTTCCAACGTAAATTATAAGACTGAAAATGGACGTATAATACGATGGCAGTGATCTTTTCACCGATGAGAATAGTAGGAGAGAAAAAAAAAAAATGGGAAACAATCTTGTTTTCTAAAATAAATGCACCTCAGAACTCGCCGTTTTGTACAAGAAACCAAAATTAGATTTTCCAAATTTTGCAAATCGCTCCACTGTTACGAAGATCTAATCATTCGTAAACGTAACGTTGTAACGTTATAAAATTCAGTGAAATTCACTTTGTAAATTATCGAGCAAAAGGCTGCCGTGTTATTATGCGTTTCTCACCCGTAACTGATAAAATGGACAAAGTCTGTCCTGTTGTAATTTATTCATTTATTATTGCACTTCTCTTCCGAATCATCGCTTTAAAGTACAATCGATTCGAATTTTTCTGTGTTGCTCAGGTTGTTCAGGATTCTTCAAGAGGAGCATTCACAGCAATCGAAGGTACATCTGCAAGGTCCAGGGCGCGATGAAAGGGCGCTGCCCGATCGACAAGACCCACAGAAACCAATGCCGTGCCTGCCGACTGGCCAAGTGTTTCGAGGCGAACATGAACAGAGACGGTGAGTGACGAAAGTTATTTGGAAAAATAAGTTTACATGGCATCGACGAGATCAGATACGTCTCCTATAGAAAAAGTATCGTAGGTGTGATTCCGCGCGAGGAAAGAATACCACGATATCAATAGGACACCATATCAGGGAGCGGTCTAATGGCGTGCTTGGCCTGTCAAGAGGAAGGCCTCGAAGAGCTCCCAGCAGAGCAGGCTGTGTCACTGCCTCTGTTTTCCCCGCGGACTCTACACCGTTGTTAATTATAGTAGAGACGAAAGAAATAGGCTTCGGTCTTCTCTAGATCCTCTCGGTCAGAAGTTCAGAGAACCACATCTTCACGAAAGGCGATGTCAAGTTCATTTTACACGAAATAGCAGTGGAAACCGCGTCTTTGAAATCTATTATTGTTGATAAATTAAACTTCCTCCTTTCAATAACGCGAAATTTTTCGACCACACGCGTTGGAATTATTTCGTGCAATTTACCAGCGAGTTCGTATTTATTTATGAAAAAAAAGGAAATTATTCCACTTCTCGAGAAGAAGATTTTATTGAAGTATTGATAAAGTATTGGAAATCGAAAGAAGTGGTTCGGACGTTTTCTAAGAATGAAATATTTTCAAAAAGTGATATGAAATAATCAATCGTTGATAATAATATATATTTTTCATTCTAACGATGATCGAGTTCACGAAGTTCGTTATGAGTTTAAATATTAATGTCAATTAAAACACTTCATACTAAAATTGAATCTATCTAACAAAAAGATGTAATATTTTAAAACTTTTTTAAGTCAAAAGTAGAAATTAATGAAAATTATATGTAATAACAAATGTAAGAGACATTAAAACGAAATTAATTTTCAAATAAATATACGCTTGAGAGATATACTTAGTTTATTGGTATTTATTATAAACTAATTAACATCCAATGGAATATAGCTAATAGGAAAGGAACGTTGATCTTGGATAGTCTATTTCTTCTGTCTGTACTATAGTAACAAATATAGCTTGTTTCGCACACATTTTCATGTAGATGCTTTTTTTTCACAGTTCTCTTATATCACAGTTCACGACAAAATGATTGCACGTTTCGCGAGATCTTCAGTTCACGGTGCAACACGTTTAAATGAAGAAACAATGTAAACGAAATGTATCTATAAAATAAATTGGATATCTATCGTTTTTAAAATTCCGCTTTAACAGACGAATGTACAATTCTTTAATACCGTGAGAGCTGTGCTGTCATTTTGTGGTGGATTCCAGTAGAAATGAAAGTAGAAGTTGTCTGGATGTCTCTCTGATTTCATTCAATGTACGACTTGAGTAAAAGAATTATTATTTTGCTATTACGTTTCTTCAAATCTTTCTCTCGAATCTTTCGTTTGAATTAGCAGCCTAGTCGCGATTCCCCTGTGGTTTCACGGAGCAAAGGTTTTCGTACCACGAATGTCCCGCAAAGACAGTGACTTCAGTGGCTGTTGGTCAGACAAACCCTCCTAAGCAAACGTAGTCGCAGGCCTGATAAAACACCAATCATGGTTAAATACTCTATTCGCCGTTTGTTTTACAACTAACTCGGTCAAAGGACACACGTGTACACGTGTTTTCAAATTAACGTAAATATTATACTCACGCTGCGAAACTACTAACTCGAAAACATTCTCAAAAACTTGTGTGAAAACTATGTCGTAAAAAGATACTTTTGCGTTACGAGATGAAACGAAACGGTTGTCTTTTTTTTTTCTTTGCGGCGATTTTGACTGAATTTTTAACGAAAATTTTGACTGAATTTTCCATCCAACAGTATCAAGTATCGTCTGAAATTGCTGCGTATGTCTCTATTAATCGACGACAGGAGAGACTTCAATAGAACTGGCAGGAACTGGTACGTGGAGGCACAATAACGATTTCGCACTGTCATACCACGTTTCGCTTTTCCACGATCTCTCACTTTGATCGTTAACTCTCTTGGCCCTCGATATTTCGCCGCGAAATTCACGACACGAGGCCTGTACCATTCTGGGCGAACGTTGCCGGCCATTTCCATTTAATTAATTAATCGATCGAAAACGCGTAATCTCCTTTCGACGTTCGCATTACACTATGTCCAACGATGGAAGATCGAACAGTAATTAACATTTATTTGCTCGTAGATTTTCTCGTTCTCCTTGTACAGCCGTGTAAACGTCGTGTTATTTCCTTCGGTCACGTTGCGTATCGCGACATCTCGCGAAACGTGAAATCGATTCTTCTTCTTCTTCTTTTTTTTTTTTTTTTTTCGTAGTCGTAAAAAAAAAGGAATTAATAACAATGACAATTTCAACGAAGCACGAGGATCCGATATTTCGAATCTTTTTGTTGGCTTCGAGCATTCGAGCATGTATTGATTCGTGGGCTATACATTCTGCGTGCCAGGGTAAATCGGATTTGATATCGATAAGTACACGACTTTGTGTAATCCTCGTTTGATATTTCAACTGAATACCGTGTCACGGTTATATGAGTAATTAATAGATTCTTGTTAAAACCCGCGGCTTATACACGGTGCACGAGATATTATCTATAAAATATTAATTTCGCATCGTTGTTCCCACTCGAGAGTGGAAAATTTTATTCCCGAATCACTGACAATCGTTCGAGTTTTATATTTACCCTTTGTCGAGTTTTATATTTACCCTTTCCGTTTCAACGGAAGGATCTCGTACGTTTTCGTAGAGTTTCTCGACAATTTCGAGTTTCGAACGTGATTCGGAAGTGTCGAACGTAACGAATGCGTCAAACCGCTCGCGCAATTTGCACAGAATTGAAACAAAGAACGGAGAAAACGACGAACGAAGAGCGTTCGAGCGAGGTGCAAAAATCAGAAGAAGTTTCAAGCGAAGAAGCTCGATCGGCAAAAGCAGCAGCAACGCGAGAAAGAGAGAGAGAGAGAGAGAGAGAGAGAGAGAGAGAGAGAGAACGGGACCAGGTAAATATAAGGAGCGGAAATACAAAGAAAGACGAAGGAAAATGAGAGAGGAGAGAAACGAAAGGAAGGAGAGAGAGAAAGGCAGAGCATATTCAAAGGAAGGCAAAGGAGAGGAGGGGAGGAGAGCCGACGGATGAGAGATAGAGGTACATATCGAAAGAGAAAGGCAGCCAGGGGCGGACCAGACCGCTCGATGGGGATGAGGGTGGCCAGGGTGTCGGGGGTGTTTAATGCAGGACGGGTGCTCCGGTTCCCAGCGGTTGCTGAGGCTCCAGACGCGAGTAAGAGAGGAGATTCAATTAGTGGCAGAGCTTCCTAACGTTAAGGAGACTCCACACGGGGTGAGGTGAGCCTCTAGTTCTTGCGTTCTCCCTTGTTTCTCTCTCTCTCTCATTCGCGATCATCATCCGCGAAAAACGCACGACCATGTACGTGCTTATTGCGTGGCTCCTTTCACTTCTTAGGCTGCTCTTAGTTTCGCGAAAATTAACAGCAATTCACGGAGATTATCGAGGGAGGAGGGAGAAGGGGAAGAATCTTGCATTCACGAAGGGGTTCATTGTTATTGTGGCGGTTAGGCGAAATGATAGTGTAGATGATTTCGAAATTTCTTAGGCTTCCAAGGGTTGTAAGGATAATTGGAAGAAATTAGTGGCTTGACTCGTGGTTAAAGCTATCCAAAGAGAATATTATTCGAATTTATCTTTATGAAGAACTTCGGATTCTCTGCATAGAATACACACGATACTCGTAATGTTTTGTAAAATATGATACTAGCTGTGGTATAACAATGGATAAAGCGAATCTCTAGTTTCGTTTCTTTAATATCATTCACAAGTATAATCATAAACAACCTTGTAGTCTCGTCATTTTTCTTTCTACAGTGGCGATTTGTCTTCTTTTCTGATCTTTCCTTTTTTGTCAGCTTATCATTTTTACTTTATTCCCGTATATCAGTTACGACGACGACGACCGCGTGGCGAAGCGTTGTGAGACGTCCATAAAACATAGGTGACCACTCGGTAAGTGGTATATATTATGTATGCGGTGTTCGGCGCTTCGCGAAGCGCCGCCGCAGGCATGCAATCATCCGCCGCCTGACAACCCGGAGATCTCTAACCCCTCACACCAGCGTGTACCAGCACCCTCCCGGTTCGTTCTACGGAAATTTATCCCTCCCTGACGGTGTGTCATTTGCTCTGCCCGTCTACCTTGCCGACGAAATGCCCTGCACAGCCGCGGACCCGTATATTTTGCGAAATATGGCGTTAAACGATATCAGAAGATTACCAAGCGGCTTACCGAGTCGGATTTGTAACTTGTAAAGGGAAAGAGAGAGGATCCGCCGAGTCTTCCTTACGCTTCTCTCGTGTCTCGCCAGCCAGCGAACCCTCGACTTTCTTTTCACGTCGATTCTCAACGCGAATTTTCAACCAACCGACGGCGCTTTTAACCTCCGCTTGCGAAATTATCATACGACAGATTGGATCGATCTGTACTTTCTGGAGGTGAAACGTTTTCTTTTTCCTTTACTCCCGTTTCTGATTAGATAAAGTTAAGAAGAATTTACTCTTCACTCTACTCGTCTATGGTTGAACAAATCGAATGATTTTTAATATAGAACTGTTAAACGAGGACGCAGAACTAGCGTTAGAACGTGTTGAAAGACGCGTTTGGTTCTTACGAAATAAAGTGTCTTATATTTTTTTGACACCTGCGTTTATCCGACTTGCGTTACGTTTTATTCTCTGTCTCCGTGCATAAAATCAACTCTGTCACTTGATGCTAGATATTTCTGAAGAACATAGTGACAATTTTATTGATAGAAAACAGCAGCTCTGTAATCAGGAACGAATCGGAAACTTTCTAAAAATCATATTACATTTTCTCTTCAACTATTAACCTGCAGACAGTATCGGTAAAGTCTGGCTTTTCCGATCTTCTCAGATCACGCGACGCGAATTCCTCGCGGATCCATCTCGGTTTTCGAAAAAAATGTGACGAAGCTTTCCAATTAACAGGCGTGAGAGGCCAAGCGTC